AGGGGGGGGGGGATGTACAACGTTGCTATTGGAAACAATTCCAAACTTTCCGTTCTTTCTACATTGAACAAGCATTATAAGCAAGAAAAAGGACACACCCTCCAAACTTAAGTGCTGCTAACTTTGTGGGGTCTGCAAACTTTGTGAGGACAGCGCGTTGGTTTCGGAACCAAGAGGTCCCGAGTTCGAACCCTGCCATGACACCGATCTTGTGCCCTTGGGGAAGACACTTTCAAAGTAAAATTGAGTATGTCTGTTGTCCGTGCGTTTGTCTGCGTTGGTGGCGGCATAAAAATAAGTTGTACCGTCGCCATGTCTTGCGACAAATGTTGGAATAGAAAAAAAACTTTAAACGGCAAAGTGCTCGTGTTGTCGGAGATATTGTTTTACCTGGAAGAAACAGGCGGCGGCGTACAGTTCATACACGTTGTCCCGGTTTACCTCCACCCGGCCGGTGTATGCAAACTCAATCAGCTGGGAGACAGATTCTGCGCTGACCTGGTGAGAAATGTTAAAAGTTCATCTGTGTTGGTAGAAGTCATTATATAAAGCAAATTCTAACTGTAATTTCCCACACTGAAATTTTCAACTATACTTTTAGGTATTGTTTGATTTGCGTTGTGTTTGTTGCCATGTTTCAACCTCTTGTTAATCTGTTCTCCCATGTATATGCATATGAGCCAGGCGCCTGGATAGAAGAAGTCAAGTCAAGTCAATCTTTATTGCACAACAATTGTAACGGGTACAATGCATGGCAAACTCTTCAGTACTACATATCTAGCTAGCATCTACTCTCACGCCTACAGTATTACCTACAAGTTCTATGTATCGAAAATAACATTCTATTTCAAAAGTTAATATAGTACATGTATATATATGGAAGAATGGATAAATAGAAATAGTGAGAACCTCTAACAGGCGGACAGTCCTCTGCCTGGTCTCCTGCAGCCCGCACGTGAACATGGTGTGGAAGTACAGGCTACAGGCGGCCAGCACCGCCCGGTGACACGGGAACAGCTCGTCTTCTACCTCCAACAACATGTCTATCAACTGCCCCGACTTGCGCATGCGCTGGAAATATCCCAAGAGCTTCGACGCATGCGCATTGTGGTCGTCCATCGTCCTGAGATGCACTTGACTTGAGATGCTGAAAGGAAAACTACAAAATGTGACGCCAATTAAAAAAACAACTTAGATTTTTCTATTATACTCACCACACAGCATACGACGGACAGGGCTATCACCCTTCATGTGATCTGTGTGAGCAAGCTGACTGATATTATCTTTGAAGACTATGAAAATATTGTCCATGATATATGACGATACAAACAACAAATTACGACAAAAAAACTGACGGAAAAGAGGAATGTTTTGCTCAGTGTCATGAGAGCATCTGGCTCGTAAATTATATCATTTTGGGTGTCGTCATAAACATAATCATAACAACATGAATAAATACATCGCCACTGTTAGAAGCTACTACTAGTATCAGCTACAATGTTCCATGCAGCATGCATGTGGCAGCCTTACTTCAAAACATGATAAATCATTATATAAAATGCAATTAGACGATGTGAGAAAGTACCTTATTGGCCGGCGCACATACGATAACAAGTAGATCGGTGTACCTCCCAGGCACTTCTCTGAGATGTAAACATAGCGCGGCATTTGATGACACGGGCTTCGCTAATAATAGCACTGGAATCCTACTCCCAAGGAATGTGGAACCCCTATCCGTTAGTATTTCATACACTACTGGCTGTGTTTTTGTTTTGGATGTGCGATAGGCACAAGTCAGTGTGCTCATAGATACACAATATTACATTCGCCCTAGCTTTAGGTGATATCTCTAAAAACTTCAGGGGAGGGCTACATGTATGAAATATAGGCGGATTTCACAATGATAATTCTATGTCAAACTAGAGTTCCCCGATCTCATACCTTCGCCAAATGATGTTAAACTTTATGACTGACAAATTATAGATTAGATTATTCCCCCCTGATTTAAGAAATAGGAACCTAATTTTCATGAATTAATCATTCTATCATAATCTCAACCAAAAGACAGTCTTATATATGTTAACAAACAATGCATTCTAGCATTTCCTAATAAATTATGCAAATGAGGTCCTGATTTGAATAAATTGTGTTTAATGATGTTCACGTCAACTAAACTTTCAAATACCACAAGTATGAAATTCCAGGCAGTTATCATTACATAATTATAAAATTTTCTCATTAATTATGCAAATTAAGTCATTATTAACATAATCAATATCTTCCTGTGTTTCTCTCATTGTCAATTACCAATGTCACAAGCTTCAATTGTCCTATCATGGAATGCAGCTGATTTATAGAATTTCCCCATAAATTATGCAAATTACATCCATATTTGCATAATTGTCACATAATTATATTAAACATCGCGTAAGCTACCTACATACCAAAAATCACGACGATCCGTCAATCGGTTCTTGAGTTATCCCCTTTTGAATATTTTCAAGAATATATCCCTGCAGTTCTAGAGCAAGCCGCTAGGGGGCCCAAACTCACGTCACTTCTTCCCCAGCACAAGAGCTACCTACCATCCAAATTTCATCACCATAGCATGTCTAGATCATGAGATATCAAAACCGGAAGTTCAGCTGCAGTACCATAACAAGCCGCTAGGGGGTCCCAAAATCTAATCATTTTGAGGTCTCATCAAGACCTACCCACCTACCAAGTATCAAGACAATCCATCAAGGCCTTCTCAAGTTATCGTGTTTACAGACAGACAGACAGACACACACACACACACACACATACACGAACGCCCCTGAAAACATAACCTTCTTGGCGAAGGTAATGAGCATATATTATGGACAAGGACAAGCAACCATCATCTCCTATGGCCTAGTATTTTATAGGGTATGCCCTTTGAAAAAACTATATGTATGACATGTCAATGATACCGATGCATTTGGGGTGGGGCAGAATATGTCTGTACCCTTTGGTCTTTTCCTTCGGGATTGGGTAGAGGGTATACTTCGCTTAGGTATATCAAGGACATTATGTTTCTTTCATTGTTATTTATTGTTTTTGCACTTACAAAAAAAACACATTAGCACTAATATCTCAGTACACGTCTGTACGTGTCACTCCATAATAATTTCGATGTAATCCAGGATCATATCCCTGACAGCGTTTCTCATATCACGGAGCATCAGTACCGATGCCTGTCGGTAGATGGCGTAGCGGAACCCGTAGATCAGGGCGTCGATGAACGTGTTAGTCAAGACGACAAGCTGGAAGACGTCCAGGGCCACGCTTATCGTGGACATGGCTTCCACCTTCGAAAGGAAGTACAGAACAAGAGACGGAAACCAAGTCATCCAGTACATCAGTAGGACAATACTCAACGTCTTTGCTGCCCGTAGCTTGTTTTCAAAGACCTCGTTGCCAGCTGGATTGGGGGAGCGATCCTCCAAGTTTTCCCTGTGTTGCTGCGCTTGTCTGTAGATGAGAGTAGCAAAGATGCTGCTGATGATCATCATGACTAGACAGAACGTGCCGATGAGAGAACCCTCGGCCCCGCCGGGCAGGCACGGGTAGACGGTGGTTGGGGAGACCTCGGTGTGTACTGCGCCCTGGTAGGTCACCACCTGAGTCAGGGATGGATTCATCACACATGAAAATTGACAACATTATTATCATGAAAGTTCATCTGTGTTGGTAGTTACATATTTAAAGTTAAAACATTTGAGGCTATGTACATCAGGGCACATCATCCTTCACTCAACCGCGACGGGGGCCGACATCGTCTACCTTTGACCCAGTGTTGTCCCAGTCTTTTACCTATTTTGTAATCATGCGTGTACTTTGGCAAGAGTCTAAATCCCTTCTACTATAAAATTGCAACATTATGTAACCCAACACCAGTTACCATGGTGAGAGACATTCTGGTCATTGACCAGGTCAGAGGTCAGTGTTTGGAACGGAAGAAGAAACGTAGCAAAAACAATGTTTTCTTTCGGTAAACATTAAAAAAGTCACTACCTCCACCGTCCCAGTCCGCAGTACTCCAACAACTGGTGGTAAAACGGCGAAGACGAAACAGCCGGCCATGGCCGCAGCTACCCGCGGACGGGCCAGCTTTTTCTCGTACTCCAGCGGGCAGACGATGTGGGTGTAGCGGCACACCCACTGGCACATCAGCAGGGAGTGGGACAGCAGGACGGCCACTGCGCCGAAGAACGTCTGCACCTGAAACAAACGAATGAAAAGAAACCTACAGTGGGGTTCGCTGGAAGACAGACGAAGAATGTCCAGACTATGCATGATGTGCAAAATGACTAATGAACTGGTGGACGTACCAACTACTAAGTATCTGATACCTGCCCAGAAAAGAACAAGAAACAGTCCTGCCTTCAAATATCAGAGTCATCAACCAAGAATAGAGGTGTTCAAAACTCGTATTTTCCAAGAACTATCGTAGAGTGGAACTCGTTGCCACTAAGCACAGTTGGGGCATCATCACTAGAAAGCTTTCAACAACTCATGCAATTAAGTGTGCAAAGATTGAGCTAGCTGCCGCCGCGCCGCGTGCCTGCGAAGCTGGTGTGTTACGCCAAAGGGCGGTTATATCTAATCTCAAACGTGGGGCGAACGTTGTATACAGGCGGCCAGCATTAAGCCCATTGACCCACCGAATATGCTTGGAGATTAGGTTATACCGGCTATACAGATACGGAAGCTGGTGCGTTACGTCGAAGGGTGGTTATACCGGCTATACAGATACAGCACCTTGCACAGCCCGCCGTTGGTGAAGCTGCCCTGTGCCGTGTTGTGGATGCTGAGCGGCGCGTACAGGAGGCAGCTGAACATGTCGGTCACAGCCAGGGCCGCCAGGAAGTAGTTACCGGGCTCCTGGAGTCAAGCAAAGTTGAGAATAAACGAATAAATGAGTGAATGGATGGATGGATGGATGGATGGATGGATGGATGGATGGATGGATGGATGGAAGGAAGGATGGATGGATGGATGGATGGAAGGATGGATGGATGGACGGATGGATGGATGAATAAATGAATGAATTACCTTTATTGTACATGCATGCTATTACAATCTAAGTACAGGTCATGTTTCTACCCTTCTATAGTTTCTTTAAGTAGGGATGTAAGTTCCTCTTGTTGTAGGGTCGTGTGGCGTAACGACGGAGTGCAGAGAACCAAGAGGTATCCTGCCACGCCCTTGGGAAAGGCACACGACTTTACTCACTTCACTCAGGTGTGTATGAGTATTGGCCTCTAGCTGCGTCGGTGGCGGCATAGATAAAAGTTGAGAACTTGAGTGTGCCGTCACTTTTGTGTCCTTAAGACCTTATGACCCCTTCAGTATCCTTATGACCCTTTCAAGACGTTGAAATGAACATGCTTCTGTGTCGCTTTCTTACAAATCAGATGAGTTCGGTTGCACATGTACAATTCATCCATATCAGTCAAATGGGTGTCGACGACCTCTACTTGGCTGGGTTCCAATTTCTCCGAGGAACACCTCCGAATGTCGGAGAATTTCGTAGAAAGCGTATCTGTCTATTAGGTCGTAAAGTGCTACTTAAATTTGTGCAAAACTCTTGAAAGGGCAAAGGTTATACAGATTGCACACAGCCAGGCGTATACATGCTTTGATCCTTTTACAAAGCCTCACGCCTGTCTACTCGGGTTGAGGAACCTTTGGTAGAGTTCAGTGGACTGAAACGACTGACGCAGTTTAATTCCCAGGGTACATTAGAGATGAAACACTTATCTGCCGTGGAGTCATACAATCGAAAAAAGTCGAAGTGTGTGGGTGAAAGCTAAGTACATGGGGAATTTAGGCAAACGATATTTTTCCCGAAACAATATTTGAAAACTATAGACGCCATCCTTAGATACACCAACACAACTTCGAAACGACACGTTCTGAAGACGTGCTATGCACACTATACTGCCTGGTTCGCACAGACGCAGTACGTTCTGCCAACACAACGGTCAGGTAGTTCCACGACATCATAGCCTTGCCTATAAATCTTTTTTCCCTTTTCTTGTGCAGGTAGATTTTGAGTAATTCGTCCAGAACTTATGTATAGAATATCATAACACAATCTCTGAGTTACTCAGCAAATCTACACAGTAACAAACACAAGTACATGAGCGTAGCGAGCTATATTGATTCGCCGTTAACCGTAGCCGGCCAGCTCTAACTCAACGTGAAGCGTTGTCGGTAAAATCTTGTGAAGGGTAATTGCTCACTTTCTAGTTCTGTATTGCACGTAATTTCTTATCCTCAATTCTTTCTATCGAAAAGTCGCAAAGCCAGATTGACCTAAACACAAAAAGGAGCGTCCGTCAGTTGTGTTGGTGTGTGTTCGCAGACTAGTTTTCACATACACGGAACAATCCAACAGCAATGAACATAAATGATCATAATCCTAATCTCCAAGCAGATTCGGTGGGGCCTGTATCCATCATCGTGGGGTGGGCATTAAGTCCCCTTGCCCTACCGAATCTGATTGGAGATTACATAAGTCCAAAGAACAATGAGATATAGGAGGTTAACACGTAATCCTTAACACGTAGCCACTCCAGCTTAAGAAATCTTTTTCAAATAACTTTGTTAGCATTTTAATGTCTTGGGGTGGTGGGACTACGGCGCACTGATATGTCAACTTTGTGTATTTAAATGTTAATTGTATTTTGCTGGGTGGCGGTGTTAATATAAGTTTTAAACTTGAGTGCAGCGCCACACTGTCCTTGTTATAGTTTGATGTATTGATGAATAAAAAATAAATAAAAATAAAACGCCATTGCGTCCACAGAAGTAGTGCTCCCCTGGGAAATTATTCTCCCTACTTGGTTAAATTTTACCGTTCGTGATTTTTCAGCCAGCGTTCTTAGTCTTATGTGTGATATGTTGAATACCACTTTTTATGTGTGTCATGCTGATACGACTTCGACATTAAAGACTGTGATACATGATGCAATAGTAGGCAAAGGTTTTTTTATGCATACATACGGTCAATACATACGGTCATCATACTCGGAAAATCTGTATCTGTGTATCTGTACATGAATCTGTATCTGACTGCAAATGAAGATTTCGAGTGATTGCATAACATACATATGGTACATACTAAAGTTCTACATTGCCATTGTGTGAGGCCTTCGGCATTTTTCAACGACGACCATTAGTGTCCATCTTCTTCAAAGATTGCCAGACTTGCCTGGCTTCGGCGCGCTAGTGAGCTCAAGAAAGTAGAGAAGGTGGTATGCAAGGTCTCGGCAATCACTTACATTCACATGACTTGACTTACAAAGTGCTTGTACTGTATACGCCTAGCCATGCGGAGTATATTGTCTAATGGATTCCCTGGAATATAATGAAGCACTTAAGACCAAAGGTGTCATACGGACTAAGCCTTAGGATATCCCAAACATATTATTTTCGTAAAAGTCGTCTTCGTGATTCTTTGAAAAGTGTTGCGCTCAGTAGATAACAGCTTCCTATGCCTATAGGATAATTAACCTTGGAAAAGTGCGTTGGCGGAAAAACTAGTTTCAGTGAAGCAATGTTCTGACAGAACAACTATCTACTGCAACCTTTCTCGCCAAAAAAAAAAATGAATTTGAATTTCGCACGACACATTTACAACTGTTTCTCAATTATGATGTCTTCATTTTGCTGTCGTAAACCAGACGTACGTCGTGTGTACTCCCCATGCAAGCAGATTCTTTCTTCGGCATATTTTTGGCGTGTTTAGGTGATTTTATCGGACTCTATTTTTCGTACTGGTATCTTCTTTTTTATGCCATGCCAGCCAAATGACAATTGGTAACTGTCTGGCAAATGGATACAGCCTGGCCAATTTGACACTGTCTTTGCAGCCAGAAGATTTCCTTGGAGATTACGTCGTTTGAAACAAACCGGGTATTCAGTTTCATCTTATTTTGGATGCCCTCCTGGGCTCCTACACCAATTATTATATACATGTACAGAAACAGACATGTACAATCACATTTATCATACAATGATACAGTATTCAACTAGAAATGTAACATTTGCAAAGCAAATGCATAATGTTTACCTTTGCATAATCTGCTTTGTTAATTCTTACTCAAACACATTCATATACATGGTGACAAGAATCCCTCCTGCTATAAAATTGCAACATGATGTAACCCAACACTAGTTACCATGGTTACAGACCATCTGGTACAGGTCATTGACCTTAGTGTTTGGAGAAGAGGAAACTGGGCAAAAACAATATGTTTTCCTTGAATTCGGTGAACATAAGAAGTATTTACCTGCATGGACTCCCTGGTAGCGATGACGCTGACCAAGCAGCCGTTCCCCAGGACAGACAGCAGGATGTAGCAGACGAGAACGATGACGATGACGGGCCGCGATGCCGGGTGCAGCCCGTACAGCCCGCACGTCAGGGGGCTGAAGCTGGACACTGTGACGGTAGCGTTGTCTGACGTGACATTTCGGCTGACGACAGCACACGTGGCGTGGGTGAAGTTTGCCAAGGCGTGGAGAGATTCCATGTTTGAGGGCCTGCATGGGGGGTCCCGACAACGCTCTACGCTAAATTTTGACAGCCGGCTACGTATTACGCTGAATTCAGGAAGCCTAACAAATACGTTGTACGATAAATTCCGGGTAACGTTCACGAATCAAAACGGCGAATCCGCTCTACGCAAAATGCGCCAATTACGCTCTACGTTGAATAAGAGCGGTCCGTCTACGCTCTACGGAAAAAGGGCATGCGGGCCATGTTTCTCTCTACCGTGCAGCTATCTAACTACTGTGGGGAGATGCCGACAGTATGTATATATAACCAGGTGGTTGGCAATGCTTCCCTCATGTAAATGAATAGAATGAAGCTTGCACGGTGCTTAGCCCCGCACAGCACTGCGCGCAAAACTATATGTTTAAAACCTACGTAAAGGAAGCGTTTTGTCTCCTCTAAACCTACTTAAAGGAGGCTCTTTGTCTTCTTTAAGTACCAATTATCCGCACGCTTCTCTCTAAGTAGTTCAGTATATATGACATACACTGAGCTGGGCTCAGTTTTAGTTTTATTTTACCAGAATTCTAAGGTTACACTCAGGTCATTTGGCCTGTTTTTCAGGTACTTCTGGGGCAATAAAATACACAAATCAATACATACTATAATATTCCATATAAATCCAATAATGCACAATCATAACAATACAGTATAACACACAATTATAATCATACAGCCGTGCTCAGGAAATGCCAGTTCCAATTACGAGTACAATGAGTTTTTGAAATTCGTTACAGTTCTGAGTAAACTTTAATGAGCGAGAAAAAACAGAGCTCGAATCACAAGGGCGAGGCGGACGGGAGTGACCTGTCCCTGGCCCGGCGGATTTAGACTGAGAACACCGGCGAACGGGGCCAGAGACCTGGTAGCTAATTACCCATTTTGATCCCCGGGGGGTTCCAAGGATCCACAATTATTCTAACAATGATAAATAAGATTTTACTGTTTAGTAGTTAGAGTAGTCACATACTATACTGTTTGTTACCCATCCTGTTGTCCATCCTTTATTTTCATGTTACGTGTACTTGCAATTAGCCAACGGGCAAGAACTTGCAATAAACTTTCTATTATCTGCATGCTTCTCTAAATAGTTTAGAGTAAATGGAAATAAACTGGTAAACTTTAACGAGCGAGAAAAAAGAGCTCATATCAGCAGGACCAAACCCTAGCCTCGTTTGCAGGCGTTCCGGGATCGGTCTTTTTCTTGATGGGGGGGGGGGGGCGCTTATTTTCTAATCAAACGTATATCGCACGTCATTGTCATTGTCATTAGAAGCTCCGGCTGCCAACCCTAGTATACCCAAGTAAGCACTATCAGTTAGTGCTTACTTAGTCCGCCTCCTCCTCCGAGCTGATAGCTTTTATAATGCGTTAGTATGTCGTATACTGTATATTTGTATTCGGTGGAATCTAGCCTGCAGAGAGATCTATCTCTCTGGGGCTCATGTTTTATATCGACACATGTAACATAACAAACAGTAAAAGCTGTGAAAAGGTATGTGATGCGTCCAGATTTTGTTGGAGTTCAAGTTCAAGTTGGAGTTCAAGTTCAAAGCTACACTCCATTTCAAGCATCGTCGACAAATTCTTGGAATCAGCAGTTAAGCGCAACAAAGCGAAAGTCCTGTAGTGTCGAGGTCACCGGGTCATGCAATGGGTTGTAGCGTAAGCGTGGTATAGCTGCCGAGGCTCGTTCGTCGTTTTCGCAAATATAGATCAAGACTTGGCAGATAATGCCACCCCAGTGGGTTGTTAATTCACTGTGTCTGGAGCATGGAGTATGGCCGTTGAGAGAACAGTTCGCCGCCCCACAAACGGCGGGGCGGCGAACTGTTCTCTCAACGGCCATACTCCCTTGGCATGCTTATCTCTCTATTTTGGCCGATTTCTACTCTTTCCAGCCGCCTCCTCAAGCCTGGTAGAGGCTAGTGATTGCACTGCTGTGTGGCCCAGGGCTATTGAAAACGGAGAAGGGCGCCGTCCTGTGCGTCATTTGATGCCGAAAGGCTTTTTAACTTTTAAAGCCTCCCAACTAGAGATGACCTTACTCCAAGCTAGCTATGGTCTGGAGAAGGTCGTGCGAGGCCATGGTCGACTGTGTAACAGGGGATTATAAGCCGATAGCGCCGTGTTTAGGGAGCTTATTCAGGTATCAGCCTCAGGCGCCAAACATCTGCACGTAAAATAAGGAACGACACACTTAATCATCGAGAAGAGTAGAGACAGGGCAGTCTCTGCAAGGCTTCGGGAGGTGGTTGGAAAGAGTAGAAATTGGCCAAATAAGAGAGATTACTTGCCGGGGAGTTGGTCCTCTGGATCGGGTGAGGCAAAATGTACTCTCCAGCGGACCAAGTTTTTTTTTTCTTTGTATCTTCATCTGGAATTCCTGGAAACTGCCCTTCCATCGTTACTGGAAAACTTTCCGGCCAGGCCCCAGGCAGGAAACTGTACCCTAACTAAGCTTAAAGCATACATGAGGAGTTAGTTTCCCCTATTATTGACACATGCTGCACCTTGGAGATAGGATTGAAATACTTCCTAGTGGAACGGTAAGTCCTTCTTCACGATGTCTGTGGTCATAAAAAAGTGTAGTGGTGTCTACAGGCTTAGGAGCTACAGTAACAGGCTGACAGTGACAATGTGATAAAAATAATGGGCTGTGTCCCCATCTTTCAACTATTAGTATACTGACGTGCTAACTGAGACCATAATATCGGTGTCTTGAAATGTCGGTGAAGGTTACACATCCAGGTAATATGATACACAAAAAAACAGTTACTCAAGAAACTGGATATGGTTTTGAAAACGGATCAGAAATACCTGCACAGCCCCAATTTTACCTGCACTAAGGCGCATATGCACCCAGTATTTTGAACCCTGTGTTGGGACATGCGTCAATGACACATATTTATTCATAGGAAACACCGACTTCTTCCATTTGCAGCAATTTTCAAGTGCTTACACCGGAAAGGTCCGTGACAAACACTTTGGCAGCTGTACAGACTTGATTGCACTAAACCGAGCTTCATGTAAAATTACAGTCAAATAACCACTATGCAAGACTACATGGTGCCTAAACTTTTAAACAAGCTCTGAAGTCTGGAGGGGCATTAGTAAAATTGGGAGCTTTGAGAATAAGAAAATTGATCCTTTTACCGGTATGTGTTATTATCTAATAGCTTAACAATTGGACTCCTTGAAATGCTTGTTCCCCTGGCATTTATTCCCCACAAATTTTCAAGTGAAGGGAAATACTTGATTGCTCCCTGACATAATCTACATAATGCCACACGGTGATCAATCACAAGTGTGGTAACTTGAAAGTCAGATTACATAAGTACTAGTAATGCATGGGGGTAGTTATACTGATGTCTTTATACAAGTTGCACAAGCCAGATTTTACCAAAGGACTGCTGATTATCCATTGCTGTATAACCCAGGCTTCGAAATACCCACTCTCGCCGCACAAATCGTGTTTTCTATGTGAGACTTTTTAAAAAGATTACAGCGGCCCAGCTTACAGCTTTCAAAATAAGCATGTTAGCGGTACCTTTATAGGTGGCCTGGCTTATGGCTTACCCTCTAAACTTAGCAGCCAGTGTTGACGGCAACCTGAAATATTGGGGGGCAACCTAGATTTTGGATTTTTATTATGAATTATATTATATCAATATGATATGTAAGATGCATCACTGAGAATCAAATTTATGGAGTTGCTGTCACAGTAAGTCTCCAGTACAGAAGGAACAGCTGTTGCTCCTCAGCAGTTCAGGACAAACGTCTTTACTCCCCCTACCAGTTTCAGGAAGCGCTGCAGCACCACACAGCCTGCATTTCCTGTAAGGAACAACTTGGCAGGCTGCGAATGTGAGGCAGCATCGTTCCCACGAGTGGCCGTTTTCACAGGTCGCTGCTCTGATATCCTCAAACTGGATTGGTCCCTGGCATAATCTGCATGTTTCCGCAGGGTGTTCGGTTACAGATGTGGTCACTGGAAGGTCGGGGTGACCGTGGCCCTCTCTCTTCAGCCACTCTAGAATCGCTCTCATCAGTGGTGACACGGGAATACCTGCTTCCCTTCCACCCAACATACCCTGGATGTGCCTCACAGCCAAAAAGGTAGTCACTCTTGCAAGCTTTTCATCCAAGTCCTTCATCATAGTTCCTGCAGGATCCTGCACCTTTTCTTTCTCCAATGCGATGGAGAGTTTTAAAAGGAAGAACTGAAGATGTGGATGAGTTTTGGGCTCCCCATACAGTATGGACTGTAGGTCAGGGGGCAATGACCTAGTGGATGATGACCTCTGCCTCACATACTCTACCAAGTCTTTGTTGTGGGCGACATGCCCTGCCTTTGGTGACACCAAAGCTGCTGTTACTTCTTCTTGAGACTTCAATTGGAGAAAGTTGAGCTGAAGTTTCACCACACCGTTCAGGGTATCGGTTACTCCAGAGACACACCCCACAAACACTGAGTTCTTTGAAATTGCGATACCGTAACCGCGCTTCAGCAAAGAAGACTTGGTGTCGATGGGAAAGGCTTCTAACGACAAACCTGATTCATTTCTCGTGATGTTTGTGACTGTCACTGTACTGCCCATGCAACATGTGTAAACCTTGTGTTCTGCACTCAAAGCTAGCCCTGAGATAGGCATGGAATGAACTGCATCTGTCCACGCAGTGTTTAGAAGTGCGATGTTGTCCCCTGACTTCTGTATCTCAAAGCAGATCACATGGGGCCCTTTGCTTGCCACAAGGATGCTTACATTTTTTCCAAAGGGCTGGGACTTTATAGACGTTACAGCAAGTAGATCTTGCTCCTTCCACAACACTGTAGGTGTCAGGAAGGTCAATGACCCTGCATCCACTGCTGTAGGCCATATGGAGACTGTGCCATCCAGATGGCCGATAGCAATGCCCCCTGGTGGATTGTTCTGGTCCTGCACCCACGCCAGGCTTGTGATGCATTCTGCAGGTGTTTCGATCTCTTGTCGACTCACCACGCTAGCGTTGTCTACAATGGGGCACTTGAACTCCCACACCACCACCAGGCCACTTCTCGTGGCCACTGCTAACATGACGTGTCGGTCAAGCTCAGGTCCATTCCCTGGGTTGCTTGTGCCATTGTCCACCTTAGTCCTACAGAAGGTCTCTGACCACTGCATGTCTGTCGGAAACAGCGTAGCCGATTTTTTGTCAGACTTTTTAGCATGGCTTGATTCGAGCGCAGAGAAGTCCAACACTTCCTGCCACTGTAGCTGATCTTGCTGAAGACAGTGGAGAACCAAACAGTGGTCTAAGGTCAATGTCGCCAACATACACCTTCCATTGGCGCTGCACTCTAACGGCGACCAGCGAACTGTTCGGTACCCGTTTTCTGTAGCAAGAACCTCCCCGTGCCTGTATCCTTGATCCAGATTGGTTGTGCTTGCTGCTTTACTCGACCTCTTGGTAGTGAGTGGAATGAACGTTTTCTGCGCCTTGAAGTTTGTGTCGACGAGGTCAGCAGAATTCAGCAAGGCCAGGCAGTACATGCCTTTCTTGGTCGCCACGGCGATATGATTGTCATGTGACCAGTCGATGATGTCAGCACTGCAGGTTTCATGGTCCAGTGGTATGACTTGTGGGTGTAAACTTAAACTAGTGTTTTGATTGTCAACAATCATATTAGAGCTGTTGGAATCTTCCATTCTTTCTTCTTGAGCTGAGTTGTTGAACTCGATACACCTGTTTGAATAAAATAGTTTTTTGTTTCCATGTATTTTTCATACCATATTAAGCACCTTGTCGTGACAATTGTAACGTTAAATTTACAACCTTAAAACAAATAGGGTTAGATAAAACGTATTTGGATAAGTTGATGTTCCCCCGAAAATTAGGATCAAATCTGCAAAATATTATCTTGCATATATTTTTGCCCCCCTCCCACTACACACAAACACACACAGCAAGCTAGAACCGCGCGTTAACCGCGGTTAGTTTGGACAAAATTAAGGAAACCAACAGCGTTAGTGCTGCTAGAGTGTTCAATGAAACAACAAAACATTAAGTCAGAAAGCAGAATTTACACTGAAACTTACCAAAACGTTTGACGCTGTTTATCAAAACTCCAGAAACTTCCCGCTCACTATCCATGTGAGGTATCGCCAGTCGAAATTTCCACAGAGCAGCCACGATGAAGAGCCATGCTGCTATTGGTCAGGATACTAAAATGCTTAAATCCTATTGGTGCAAATATACATGCTGCAGGAATAGCGCAGTTTCGTCGGTGGGAGGTGTGGGCAGGGTGTGGGGGTCTCCATACCGGTAAATATTGCACGTTGGAAGCTCTGTTTGTCCGCAATCGGGTAATTTCGGACCGACTCACGTAAGGTAAGACATCCATTATGTCTTTAAAGCCGTGTGATTGTGTAATGGGTAAACATATGCAGGTTGACGTTGATTTTAGGTGAGCCTCTTTCGGTCCGTTTTGAGGTCCAGATTGGCCGTTAACTTTCCATAAAATGATTTCCAAAATCTGATCGTTTTCTGATGACGAACTTCTTCGACGGCCAGGCTCATTTAAAATATATACTAAGTTACTAATGGTGTAAATAAGATTAGGGAAGTCTGTAAAGAGCTTTATGTTGCCACGAATCAGTCATCGTCACTCAAGGGCAATTCACACTAAGACGAGAGGCAAGGCATTCACACGTACGTACCAGTTAGGTCCTAGTGGGCCCGGGCACACGGTGCTTGCTTCAAGGATTAGCATGTGATGTAAATTTTGAAGCGTATAACTTGAAAATATTATGTTTATATAAAAGTATGAAGGTCTGAGGACCACTCCAGGTAAGTAACGGACCAAACACTAAGTTTGAGGGGCTCTTGACTTTGGAGACCAGCTTAGGCAGGATACACGTCACCGTACAGGAAATATTTGCGCGGCTCTTGGGTCTACCGTCTGGGGACCAGATAAGAGAGAGGTAACATCTGTGTCCATAATATCACCAGGGTAATATCGCCACCTTGAGAAACATACTTTTGGTATGCGCTCCTTCACACATCAAATATACATACTATGCATGTTGCAGTAAAAATATCTTTAAGCACTCTGTTTCTCAAGGTGGCGATATAGACCCTGGTGATATTATATTTGCACGGCTCTTAGGTCTGGGGACCAGATAAAGCACCATAGAGGTAATATTTGCGCAGCTGTTAGGTCTGAGGATAAGGCACCATACAGGTAACTTAATATAATTATTATATATACACAGCTCTTAGGTCTGGGGACCAGGTAAGGCACTGTACAGGTAATAATTGCATGGTTCTTAGATCTTGGGACCAGTTTAGTCACCGTACACGTAAAATATGTGCGGCTCTTAGGTCTGAGGACCAGGTAAGAAGCTCAGGTAAGGCACCGTACAGGTAATATATGCGTGGCTCTTAGGTCTGAGGACCAGGTAAGGCACCGTACAGGTAATAATTGGGCGGCTCTTAGGTCTGGGGACCAGTTAAGGCACCGTGCAGGTAATATTTGCGCGGCTCTTAGGTCTGGGGACCAGGTAAGGCACCGTACAGGTAATAATTGCGCGGCTCTTAGGTCTGGGGACCAGGTAAGGCACCGTACAGGTAATATTTCCGCGGCTCTTAGGTCTGGGGACCACGTAAGGCACTGTAAAGGTAATATATGCGCGGCTCTTAGGTCTGGGGACCAGGTTAGGCACTGTACAGGTAATATATGCGCGGCTCTTAGGTCTGGGGGCCAGGTTAGGCACCGTACAGGTAATAATTGCATGGTTCTTAAATCTTGGGATCAGGTAAGGCACCGTACAGGTAATATACGCGTGGCTCTTAGGTCTGGGGACCAGGTAAGGCACCGTACAGGTAATATTTGCATGGTTCTTAAATCTTGGGACCAGGTAAGGCACCGTACAGGTAATATATGCGTGGCTCTTAGGTCTGGGGACCAGATAAGGCACCATACAGGTAATAATTGGGCGGCTCTTAGGTCTGGGGACCAGTTAAGGCACCGTACAGGTAATATATGCGTGGCTCTTAGCTCTGGGGACCAGGTAAGGCACCGTACAGGTAATATATGCGTGGCTCTTAGGTCTGGGGACCAGGTAAGGCAACATACAGGTAAAATATGCGCGGCTCTTAGGTCTGGGGACCAGGTAAGGCACCGTACAGGTGATATTTGCGCGGCTCTTAGGTCTGGGGACCAGGTAAAGCACTGTACAGGTAATATATGCGCGGCTCTTAGGTCTGGGGACCAGGAAAGGCACCGTACAGGTAATAATTGCGCGGCTCTTAGGTCTGGGGACCAGGTAAAGCACCGTACAGGTAATATATGCGCGGCTCTTAGGTCTGGGGACCAGGTTAGGCACTGTACAGGTAATATATGCGCGGCTCTTAGGTCTGGGGGCCAGGTAAGGCACCGTACAGGTAATAATTGCATGGTTCTTAAATCTTGGGACCAGGTAAGGCACCGTACAGGTAATAATTGTGCGGCTCTTAGGTCTGGGGACCAGGAAAGGCACCGTACAGGTAATATTTGCATGGTTCTTAAATCTTGGGACCAGGAAAGGCACCGTACAGGTAATATATGCGTGACTCTTAGGTCTGGGGACCAGTTAAGGCACAGTACAGGTAATATATGCGCGGCTCTTAGGTCTGGGGACCAGGTAAGGCACTGTACAGGTAATATATGCGTGGCTCTTAGGTCTGGGGACCAGGTAAGGCTCTGTACAGGTAATATATGCGTGGCTCTTAGGTCTGGGGACCAGGTAAGGCACCGTACAGGTAATATATGCGTGGCTCTTAGGTCTGGGGACCAGGTAAGGCACCGTACAGGTCAGGTAATAATTGGGCGGCTCTTAGGTCTGGGAACCAGTTAAGGCACCGTACAGGTAATATTTGCGCGGCTCTTAGGTCTGGGGACCAGGTACAAGGCACCGTACAGGTAATATATGCGTGGCTCTTAGGTCTGGGGACCAGGTAAGGCACCGTACAGGTAATATATGCGTGGCTCTTAGGTCTGGGGACCAGGTAAGGCTCTGTACAGGTAATATATGCGTGGCTCTTAGGTCTGGGGACCAGAAAAGGCACCGTACAGGTAATATATGCGTGGCTCTTAGGTCTGGGGACCAGAAAAGGCACCGTACAGGTAATATTTCTGCAGCTCTTAGGTCTGGGGACCAGATAAGGCACTGTACAGGTAATATATGCATGGCTCTTAGGTCTGGGGTATGTAAAATACTGTCTGTAAGTATTGAATTGTTTTTAAAGTTTGTAAATTGGACGCAATTCAGTGATACACTGCAATGTTCAATAAAGTGATCTTGAATCTTGAAATATAATATAGCTTTTAGTTTTGTAAATATTACTTCCTGTCATCATTTTCCTCTGGCTAACCAATGTGAAATGTTTGCTGTCTTTCAAGGATACACATGTATATGATGACTTTGTTGCAGGGCTGGGGATGAAGCGCAGGGTGGTCTGGAGGGGTGGTCCTCGGTATGACTTCAGCCAAGTACCAACAAAGAAAAAAGGTGCTTCAGGAACATCCACATCCACCACATCACAGGGAGAAGGACGATGCAGAAATACTGACCATGTTGCCAACAGAGACCAGGAGATGGGTACTTTGGAACCAAATGTGCGACCAGATGTGGCTGACATGCCTGTAAGTTAATTTTTGTGTTTGAGATATCGTTTCTTTTTTTCTGAATTAAATCATGGTAAACGTAATTCCAATATTTATAAGATAATTGATTATTCTCAAGACTGAGAAGGGTAGTATTAGTAACTAGTAAATGGTAAAATTTAAAAGCCTACTATACTATTCTACACATACTCCAAACTTTTTACCCTTTTTTAGCAAATCCACCATAGTTTCATTGTACATTGATCTTTGACGAGTTTGAGGTTTTTGATACATCATGGCAACAGTTACAAGAATTTCTGTGTGTTGTTTTTTGGGCTGGCTTTCTGAGATTGGATTTTGAAATGTGCAAGAAGATTGGGTGAAACATGCTATTACTATAATGCTCTGTAGTAAATGTCTGCCTTTCCAGTTCTGTCTTAATCAAATTTACTAACCTTGACAGCTGAGTATTGTGATCAAAGCACATCATGGTTCTACTGGTATGATATTAATGCAGGCTATTTACCTTAACATTAGTCCAGGTATGTCTGCGTGTTTAACTATTGTCATAATGATGGTAGCAGATTAATGAAGTCATTAATGTATTTTTGTTGTATGACATTTATTTTATGTTTTGACATACAGGACTTTGCTGTGCTCTCAAGTATTCCGCTTGGGAACATTACATCGTATGTGTCACAGCTGCGACAACACTCGGCTGTCACCATGTGTGATCCACATGCAACCGTATTTGTGCTGCCTGATTTCCATGAAGATCAATCAAAATTGATGGTAAGAAATTACTCTCTTGCTAATTTTAATTTGTGTGAATTATTATAATAGCATTGTTCATGCCTTGAATGCAGCTTTTCCAATACAATTATTAAGAGGTTTTCAAAGGATGCATATTGATTCACTTCCTGTGTCCCTTGATGTTTATCTTGTATTTGATGTACCTTTAGAATATAATGTTATCTTGATTATTTTGATTGCACAAACAAATGTGTTATAATATTTCAAATCATCAACATTCAATGATCATTCAAATGTGTTTGAGAACATTGACTTTGTTTCAGCTTCATAAATATTTTTAACAATCCAAAAATGATATGCAATCTCCTCAGTCAATCTTGAAAGAGGTTGACCTTACTTGCATCCTGGGATGACATCTCTCCATTGAGCCACATTAGATATTGGGGTATTTCTATTAATCATCCACACAAATTAAGCTTGCAAGTATGGGATGCCATGAGCTGACATTGGTTATATATTATGTTACTTTCTTGCCCTTGTTTAGGCTGATTGGAAATGGTAAAGGGGCACTGGCTTGGTCTCTCCTATATTCCAGCCATACAGTTTATCCAGCACTTAACAGTTTCACCTTCAGTCCATTTTACTATAGTTTGAATAGTTAATACACCTAGTAATATCACACTCCTGTTGTCTGACCTTCAGTAGCCTCTTGCCATTGTCCCAGTGTGTCATTTCTGTGCAGCTTAATTATGGTGGGTCCATCATTGGAGACCCTTGCAAGTAAATGAGCTCGGTTCATTGGGCAACCCTGTATTGGATATTTGCAGGCTGAAAAACATTTCTTTTGCATAAAAACAAACTCTCCTGAGACCTGTCTGTTGATTTCAGGTGAACAAGTACCACTTTGTGCAGAGGTGTGCTAAAGCCATCAACGCTACCTGCCAGTGGGTCTACTGCTGTTCTTGTTCAAAACGAGAACAGGAACTTATGCAGTCATTGTCCACCAGAATTGTTGATGGTGCATCAGGTAAGATACATTATTTGTTTCTATGCAATCGTATACCAGTATTTACGATGGTCTTAATGTTCTTAAATTCTGTTTCATTATGTAAATCACTAAAAAAGAAACAATGTTATGTTCAGACACAAACGTCTTTCATTGCGTCTGTTTGCATAGTTGACTGTATGATGCTCAATGTGTGATCAATGAGGTAAGAAAAATGCTTGGTATGATACTAAACTAGACTTTGTCAGATTTCTGTATTACTATTACATGTATTAGTATCATGAGAATCTGCACTGTGTAAAACTTTTCTTATTAGTTTTTTGTTGCCAACAGAACCTTTCCTATCTTTTTATAGGGATATTAGACAATTACTGCATCCACATAAAGGCAACAGAACACATCGTGGATGACTTTGACCGGCAAAATGACATCGCACCAAGCATAGATGATGGTGGTATGTACAATGTTGAAACTGTATTGTATTCGTCTCATTACAAATGACGTCATGATGTCATCAAATGCTGCTACAATAGGAAGTAGTGGGTAGCTCTAGCTTGCTTATGCATGTGAATATGGATCTTTTGAGACAAAACTTTTAAAATCTGTAAAATGAAAAACATCTGTCTATCTGTTTTATATTTTTTTGAGCACACCATTAGTAAAAAGACACATTGATTTTATTTTTGTTGCTGATCTTTTGTATTTCCTATTATAGATCACAACTACACCATCCCATCCTGTTTTGCAGAGGAGACTGCACCTGCTGCTCATCAGGTAATTTTTTAGTTTTTCTTCTTATAATATAAATCTTTCTCGAAATGAGATGTCCATTACCTGCATAACGCAATTGAGTGTGCCAGGTACAATTTGTGTTGAGCTGGTATGTCAACCCACACTGAACCTACTACAACATGTACCGACTACACGTTTTTGTGAGGATTTCTTGTTGATGAACCCAATATATTCAGTGTACAAAATACTTTTTTGAACCAGGTTGCCCAGCAAAAATTAGGTTGCCCATCAGAATTTTGGGTTGCCCCACCTATAAGTTACTACTTTCCTCAAATTAAGTAATGTTACATACATAAGCCTTTGACAATATTTCTAACAGCCTTTAGTGAACTGATACTAGTAATAGCCATTAATACCTAAAATTAAAAAGCATCTGCCGGATACAGTAGTGCAAGCCAAGTGGGCATGATTTCTTGGGGGGGGGGCATTCTTAAAATTCAGGAAGCACACTGAGCTACCTAGGTTCAAAAAATAGGTTGCCCCAAGTAAAATTTGCTTGCCTGGGGCAACTGGGCAACCAGCTATTTTGCATGCTGATATTGTTGTCAAGTTTGAAATGACAGGAATATTGAGCAGTTGAAATTCTTACAATTATTGTTATTAGCATTTTTTGTTACAATTATTATCATTGTTGATATGTAAATAAAGTTGAAATAGATATTAAATGCCAAACTATGTTCCCATGCAACAAGGAATCGTGAGTTACAGTTGTGAACATACAAAACCATGTCAATTTTGAAACTCGGCGAAGGTCTTTGAAGCTTCTTCATGGGGTTAAAAAAAATCAGTAAACAATAGTGCAAGCTAAGGCCACACTGAATTGATTTTATGGTTGGACATCCTCTGAAGAAAATGCTACAGTAAATTAACAATTGGATTGGCATCAGTTCTGGTGTTTGATAATCAAAAAGACTTCTGTGCATGAGCATATCTTGAGCCATTAATCCTTATATCATTTGTGCCATTTCGTGCTACCAGGTGACCTCAATAGGACTTTCCCCAATTTAAGTTACATACCCATTCACACCTGGGTGAAGTGAGGAAAGTCGTGTAAATTGCCTTTCCCAAGGGCACAACGTGGGGGTGAATGTCTGGGTACAACTTCGGTTCTCGCCATTTTATAGTCTCTAAACTCTATACCACTATGCCATCCAATGCCAAGTTAAAATTTCTTTGTCTGAATTACAAACCAGCCTGGTCTGTTGACTTCATAGAGCGTATCATGGTTTTGGGGCTATCAGAGGGTACCAAAGTCTGTTTTTATTTTATGTTTTCTGAGAGAAACGGTGATTTTTAAGCCTTATTGCTGACATGAAGTAGATAATTATTGTCACGTCAGCAAACACCAAATTATCATGAAACAGTCTCTAAGTTGGAAAAGTTCAATTCTACCTGAACTGTTTGCTGAAAATCTAATGAAACACTGCAATATATACTTTTTCATTATTCACCACCACACATGTTCAATCCAGAAAGTGACTGTAAATTTTTTAGAGAGTTTGCTGTGTTGACCTGCTTACAACTTTGTATGTCAATGTACCTGGAACACATGTTGAAATGTAATGCTTAACAAATGCAATGTTTATTTTGTGATATATTTTCCTTCAAAAGTCAGTGACATGCCAGACATTGTATTGATTCCTAAAACAAACAAACTTGTCATATCCACAAACATTCTTGCAAATGAATGCCACTAGCTCTGACATGATTATAAGTAAATGTAATTTTCATTTTGTTTTCAGGCAGACGTATTCAAGGTCTTTGGAGATGGGATGTACTGCATCAAAAGTGGAATTGATTCCTCTCGTACAAACAGTTATGGCATAGTGCACTGCAGTAAGAACATGGCATGCCTAACATGTGAGCATGGAGTACATTCTTGTAGCCATGTCAGTGACCTGAAAAAACTTTTGGAGGATGACAACAACTTGTGTGACATTACACTTCAGGAATTGAATGACTTGATTCAAACTGCCAACAAAGTTTCGAGTTCCGTCAGCCGTACAGTCTGCCTGTCTTCAGAAACAATCAATTTCAATGTCATACCCGGTCAGTATACAAACTCACCTGGATACAACCCTCATCAGTTTTGCCATGACAACACAATCACATTCACATCTGATGAGAAAGTCTGCCCAAACTGCACCTCAGATCTCGAGGTTGGGGATGAAGATGGAGAGATGACCCTTCCACTATTCACCAGAAGTTTCATGTTTTCTTCCAAAGGTTTGTATACTCCTCTGATGATGGGGAATACTGGATGTGTGGACCGCTAATGCTATTTTATGGAATTGAAATTTCTGTAGTACACTTTGATGCATTGTTTATTGTTATTATATGATTTTCACTTGGGGATTTTAATACATCCCTTGTCCTGCGGGACCCATATATATATGGGTTGCACATATAGTACCAGCTGTATAGTGCCCTGTATATGTATAATTTGGGGCATCGTTTCTCGTGCAATGCATCACACCGCAGCGAAATGCAATGAACGTGGCATTAACTACGCCACCACGGGCCAAAAAAAGGCAAGGGTCTGTGACCTGATCAAGACTTCAAATTATTTGAAAATATTGTGCAAAAATTGCCAGCAGGACAAGGGTTAAACAAAGAAAAAACTTTGTGTCAATTGAAAGGAGAGTTAAGCATTACTTGGTATACAATTTCACCATTTTCAATTATATCTGTTTGTCAGGCAATCACTGGCGATGATTTCTTCGTGAATAATCAACAAAGGCTATGTTAGCTAGAGTGCATCCTTCCAAGTAAAGAGACTGCTTTTACAGTCAATGTTTTGGTGACCGTCTGTCACCTTCCTCAGGGCAATTCTGACTGGTTCACATTGCACTGCAGCACAGGTGTTGCTGCTATAAATGCATTCCCAAGCATACAATATTTACATATCTACACATAAACGTGGTTATAGGGAACTACATGTATATCTACAATGCACTGAATAAAACACTTGGTTGTGGGAATAAGAGTAGCTTTGCTTAGTGACTTACATGTACCAACCTAATGAAACTATTCACGAATACATCCTTCCCTTGCATGGGACTAAATCCAAGGACATAGACTCTATACTACTAGTATACTCTGTATAGTCTTTTAGTCTATCCCACATGAATATTGGTGCTATGTAAAATTAGTATTTGTTCCCACTATTATTCACATTTTTGCAGTAATATGAAGATGATGAGTAATATGATCATATTCAAGCCATCTCAGTGTTCTCTCAAACATTCTTTTTTTGATTAAATGTTTGAAAAATGAGTTATTCATTCATTTGATTATGTCTTGTGATCCACAGTGTATTACAAGACATGCCCTACCTGCAACAGCAGTGTCCATTTTGACGGAAAGAAAGAGGCCATCCTCAACATGGGAACATTCCTGGTGTCCCATGAAGTTCTGAGGGACTACATGTACCATTTTCTCCAAACTGGGTAGGTGTTACCTTCTGCTGAACTATGTGTTTCCTTTTGATTTGTCTGTGTGCAAGTTGAGATGTCTTTAGCTATCAAAGGGTTCTTGTACGATACACCAAAAACTTGTTACAAAAGCAAAGCACTGTACCTAAAAAGGGTAGATCTGCTGTGTTATGTATGCTCAAACAAGAAAGCTTTTGAAAAAATCTGGCCCGAGGCCAAAATGGGAATAGCTCCTTGCGTGACATTGTCTCAAAGAGGTGGTCAGCATGTTGACTTGAATTGTAGCAATGCTAAAAAGTGTGAATTTAGATGCAGTCTGCTTATAACATTACTTGTGCCAATGATATTTAGATCTCTCTATTAGGCCTATTTCATACTCTTTCCAGCCACCTCCAGAAGCCCAGTAGAGGCTATGACTTTTCCAAAAGCATATTCACACAAATAACTTATGATACCATTTTCCTGCGTTTTTTGTGCAGTTCATTTCTGGCATATGGCAAACTTAAGTAAGATGTTAACAATTATAAAAAGTAAGAAATAAAAAAAAATACTTTTACAAAAGCTGACGTTTGCTCGTGTGGTCTTTTTGAACAACAAAATCGTATGCAACAAATGTGTTTTTTCTTTGAAGTGATGATATGACCTTTGATTGGAATCCCCTACATTATACATTTTGTGCGTTAGTATGAAGGGGTTTTTCAACTATTGGCATATAGAGAGTTTGAATATTCTATTTTGATAAAATACTGTACACATTTTCCACTATGATTTGAATACAATACACTCAAGTACACATAAAATCACTTTCAATTGGAATATACAGCTCCTGGCGAATTCTAATACAACAACATAAATATTACTTTCATTGAATAAAAAGGAATCAAGATATTACTACCGGTGAATTTTATGTCTACAGACTGTCCTGGGTGCTGAAATGACTATTCAGCTGAAAGGCTAATATACCTATCACATGGACGGTATTCTCCTTTCTGGAGCGTAAATCCGGACATTTCGCGACAAAAATCAGAAATTTATCACCGAAAAACTACAAACAAAAAGGAAGTTCTCGGTGGCGACAGCCGGAGAAAATCTAACAGGGGAATTACGTACGTAATGCAATTTGACACCTGACCCCTTCTGGCCGCTAGCGGCGCGGAATCACTTCCATGTTCGGCAACGCGGCTGCTTTCGCCCGAGAAATACCCCAATCCCGAATATATCCGGGACCCGCACACAGGACATGTACTGTGATCCCAGATATATCCGAGACCCGCATTCAACACTCGTGACCATTTTTAGGGTCGAAGGGGTGTCCGCGGGCTGACAAAACTCTTAAGGGGGCACACCCCAGTTTATTTTGGGTCTTAATTCGATTCTGCATACCCTCAACTCTAGCGACCGTCTCTTTCAGGAAATACCTCTTGAGCCAAAACACTGTGTTTGCAAATGAAGGATATCGCTCTAGCTATGAGAACGATAGAATTTCAATTTCTTTCACCTCTCACTTTTTTGTAAATTTTAGGGGGAAAAAGAATTTTTCGATGAAAAATAATGCCAAAAATTGGCCATTTTCACGTGGAATTAGACCCATCACCCAGATTTTAGCCACTAATATGACTTATATGGTTGGAAAGAGAAAACCCTTATGTATTATTAAGAAAAGTATAAAGAAAATCCTAACACTGAGATTATCACAATAGCCTGTCGCGCGAGGCATAGCGACAGCACCCCCAGAACGCATACAACGCATATGTAGGTCAAACCGAAGCACCGCGCTGAAGGCGGAAGGACACCCGGAAGTAAGCCTCGGGCCCGAAATCAATTTTCACCCAAAACACGCCACTTCTTACACTTTCCAGCCATGTTAGTAGTTAATACCATTTTGCAGCAGATTATGAGAAATGTAAACTCAAACATGAACCACCGGAACCCCTTCGTCACTTTTTATCCGCGCACTACAGTGGACCCCTGTCGCGGAAGAACTGGTGTGTGCACCGTTAATTTTCAAGCCTGAAAGCACATATACAGTACAATAAAAGCAAAGGAATGTGCATCATGTACAGTCTGATAGGAAACATATACCGAGTCCAAAATAAATCTGTCCACCCCAACGCGAGAAAAGCGAGAAACAGCTGCGAACATGAAAATCCCAATCTATCCTAATACCCTTCCGCGAAGGATGTCTCCTTCCCGGAGGTAACAAGTAATACAACTAACTGTTTGTACTTACACACAACATTTGCAATGTTGCACTTTTGCTGTAGGTAACCTTTGTACATATTATTATAAGGTTCACCTGACTTATATGCATACCGGTAGCTCCAATGTGCACCCATTATTTTTTCTAATAGATGCGTATGAATATTATATGATTTGAATTCCTTTTTTGTACTGATAGACCTGCTGTCAATTTCAGAATGACGCTGTTTGGGTACCACCAAACCTTGTGCAAACACCTGAGAGATGCGGGTTTTCTCGACTTCCACACCCGGCTGACCTATAACAAGTTCCGTCAGGCTTGGTATAGTTTTCTGAAGCTCTTGGACATCAATTATGACAGTGGGTTTCAGTGTCCAGAGTGCGGTCCGGAACCGAAAGTTGTGATATGTGATGGCACAGCTCTCAGCTTCCGCAGAGAGCTGCTGCCATGGGATCACATGTCGCAGCAAGATGTCGCAGCCAAAGGAGAGGTTCAAAACTCTGGCAGATAAGTATAATATATAGATTTATTTGTGGTTCCTGAATAGACCTATTTACCTCTCAGGGATTGCAAGAACTGCTTGCATCACAGGGCGGGGGCATGACCGTGGGGGGGGGGGGTGTTAGCGTGGGTGGTGGTTTGGGGGGGGGGGACATTTTTAATACAATGCCATTTTTGAACCATGGCAGATCACTGTGATAGTCTGCATTGTTCTCTCAGATACCAGAATCATGTGGTGGTGAGGGTGGGTGTAAAGAAACAAGACTGCCATCTTTCATCAAAGTATCAATAAGCTTTAGACTCTTTGTACAGGCCCAGGTCAAGAACTTTCAGATCACACGTCATTAAATCTGCACGGGGGGATGACACAAGGAGATACTCTGCAAGCAGAGGTTGTGGGGGAATGATCTTTTTTTTTTTTGTCGCTACCCCCACCAGGTAACAACTGCGTGTTAATAACCTTCATAAACAAATACAAGAATGACAAAACATCTTTAGTTAACTTGAAATTGCCTCCAATGTCACAAATTCAATTTCACTGGTAAAACAAGGAGTACTTATCAAGTAGACATAAACTCAGTTTGCTGCTCTTAGATTTCCCGCAATGAGTTTGACCGAGGTGTTCGAAACAGATACTGTCTTTTTGCCACCGAAAGGGATCTGCTTGGAGATTACCTCCTGTAATGTAAGCAGTTCATGCAATCAGTGAAGGGTAAACTGGTCTATTGCTTATTCGTGACCTTTACATTTAAAACCTACATGAAACCCCTGTACAGAGATTTTAGCACTTTTTGATTGACCTTTTCCATCAACACATCAAACTTGTGCATTGAACTCTAGGATTTCTGGGGTTTTTACTAGAAGACTCAGGCAGCAACAAAGTTCTCCAGTTCAGTCTGTCCTGAGCTATTTTCAGGAAGTTATGGTAAATATAACACAGCAAAGTGGATTCCAGCTGAGCATAACAATTTATTCTTTGATGAGTCATAATACCCGCTTCTGCAGTACAGGGCTCCTATATGTAATATTGACAAACAATAATGTAGATAAAATTTCGATTTATTCCAATACCCGCATGTTTCATTATAAATTGCTATTCAAATTTCTACCATGTAACAAAATATTGTATATATGGGGTTTGATAGACTCCCCCTTATGTAGCCTTTGTAAAGAGGAAGAAGCAACAGTTGTCCACCTGTTCTGGGACTGTCCAATAACTGCAAATTTCTGGGGTCAGGTGGACAACTGGTTCTTTGAAATAACAAATAATCATTTGCATATTAATGCGCTCAATATAATTTTTGGTACTTCAGGTGACCATTGCCCCATTCTGTCCAATGTCATCATTCTTCTTGGGAAGATATTTGTTTTTAGACATAAGAAATATTCTTTAAATCTGTCTGCTTTTAAATCCTTTGTTTCGTATATTTACAAACTAGAATTGAACATTGCATACAGGCAAGATACATAAGCATAAGGGAAAATGGGGAAATTTTAATACTGTATTTTCTGGTTAAAGATAGGTACATGTAGAAGGTAATTGTAATAGATAAAAGGTAATTTGTGATCTATTCTGAAGATTGAATGATATGTTTTTGTCAAAAGAATTATGACTATTGGCAATGGGGTTGCTAAACGGTCTGTTGACATTTCTGTTCCAGGGTTTATTATTATTTGTTCTACATGTGTCCGTTATGAATTTGCCATGCTTTCTTGTTCATTTATTTGAAAGAAAACTTAAATAAGGCCACACCAATTTAATTTGTTGGTTCTCGGATTTTTTCAGGAAAAATATGAAGCGACAGGGCGAAAAAAATAAAAATAAAAACAGATCTAGGCATCCTATTATAGCCCCAAATGCTACGATAGGAGGTATGAAGTCAGCACAAAAGGCTGGTTCAAAATTTAAAGAATGAATTTTGAACTTCTAATGATACCACTGCATTGAAAGATGGAATAACTGTAACGACTAGGATGAAAAGGACTGTTTCCAACTGTTCAGGGCAAAATATGAGCATTTTGCAGTTGATTCTGAAATTTTTTATTTTTTTGCAAATCAGGAAAAAATGAAGAGGCGAATCCGAGAACCAACAAATTAAATTGGTGTGGCCTAAAAAAAGATTTAAAAAAAACAATAATGTCAAGTTATACAAATTAGGGAGCCTGAATTAGGGGGTTGAAAATTACAAAAATTTGTATCCCTGAAATAGTTCACTTTTCAGAGACCATAAAGGCTACAAATTTTATAGATGACATCAGTGGACTTATCAATTTTTGCCTGAATTGGAAGAAATAAGAAATTTTGTGTTCCCGAGATAGTCAAGAGAGACAAGAAGTAGAAAAAAAGGTGTGTGGTAGCTATATAGCCTTGATAGTACTTGTAGTTCTGAACCGACACTAGTTCAAAGCCATGAGTGTAGTTGTAGAAGTCATGAGACTAGTTCAGAAGTTGTAAATGTAACACTGCTGTCACAGTTGTAGCCTTGACTATAGTTGCCAACTAGGTGAGTGATACCAGTCTTACCCACAAGTGTTACTTATATGCACTTGAATACAGGAATAAGTAACAGATATTAACCCATGAACAGAGCAAGTTTACAATGTAAGTTGTGTATAGTGTCAGTCCCGCCCACTGAGGGGTTTCTATAATGAAGTCTCTGAGGGCAATACTAACTTTATGAATTATTTTTGACCCATATACTAGTTACCAAGAAAGGGTGTTTGTCAAGACAGCACGGGGCCGTCAGCTTTTGCTGGAATTCCTCAACGATGGACTGACTCCACCAGCAATGGATGAACTGCTAAAGAATGTCCCCCTCTCACTTGCCACCCTGCTGAAGAAGCCAATACCAGAATATTTAAAACCTTTCCTCACCATACTGGCCCAAAAATCACCTATCTGCGGGGTGCTGCATCCCTCTGAGAAATTGCATGACTTTATCAGTAACATCAGCAACGGCGTGGGAGTTTCAGACTCTATAGAGAACATGACGTATCTGCAGCACCAAATCCCTGCCTTGTTTGAAGTCATGAAACAGACAGAGGGCTGCTGTGTGCCAGAAGATCTACGGCCACTACTACAAGACCTGCTTGTTGTGGCAGAGAGCCCATTCGCGAGTAAGCAGCCAGTCTCCGACCACCTCTCGTCTGAAGCAGATGGAATGGAAGAATTGTCATTCTTTCCAGCGTTGCCACGTGTTCGGGACAGGGGGAAGTACCTGGCGGATGGAAAGAAGGGTGCAAGTGGAAAAGTTTGCAGGAAGTCATCTGGTGGCCACCCATCCCTCCTTCCAGGACTTTTCCTGCTGCATTGTGAACATGGTAGGATGTGCTTTTTATTTTGTTACCATCTGTTTTTTTTTTTCATCTATTGTACTATTTTGATGTTTATGCAGACATGTATTTATTTTTAATCTCATTGTAATGCATGACTAAGAATTATTATTGGATTTCATAGTGGAATGATGAAAGTTACATGTATAAAATTATGGATGGTCTCATATTTTGCTTCCCATCTTACATTCCTTTAGTACATATCATTAGGTTATTACTACCTAAAATTGTTATGACTTTCTGTGTTTCATTTAGGGATCAACTATGGATTTGAGGTGATGTTGAGACACGAGTCGCCAAATACGCCATTTACAGTCATGCGTACAAGGTTCCAAAATGGTAATTTTCATTATATTTAGTTTTATAACTGTCAGTCTATAGCCTATTATGTCTGCTTCACAGCATTGATGACCACTGATTATTGCTGATGGCAGTGCATTTGCAACATTTTTTCACAGAAAACATTAGAAAGTATTCAGGGCTTGGTCAGGAGTACTGTAAGTCAATAACTATGACATGGTCTGTGCTTAATGCTAGACGTGGCCTTAAACTGTTAAGGTTACTCCAAGGTTACTGCCAACCCTGGTGTTCATTAGGCCATGTTCTATGCTAGTATTTGTAACTTAAGGGCTTCATACATATTTGGGTCAAGCATGGATTTTGCAGATTATGTTGTATTGCAAATTATGTAATCTTTTCCATAATGGGGGGTGCCCTAATTCCAAACTACTGCTAATTCCGGGCTAGTTTGAAAAATCATTGTTGCAACATTGTGCATGGGTGCATGTGCCTATAAATACCACAGGAATGGACAGAGTTTTTGTGTTGATAATGGTAAGTTTGTTCCAGTTCGTTCACTCTGATAAGAGAGTGAAAAATTCCACGCTTCTTTGGGATGTTGAAGGGCATGATGAAAATTCAGTTTTGACTTTGAAACACTACCGCTTTGAAGCAAGTCGCATAAGGACATAAAAACAGTTGTAGATTGTTTTAGTCATAATTTGTGTATTTCAAATACTAAACTACTCAGATCGACTTGTATTCAATACTAGGTCGGACACTCCTATTGCGATAGAACGATCCACTGGCAAAATGACCAAAAACCTGACATAACATAACAGATGAGAAAATTACATTTGGTGAAGGTGTGGGCTTGTGGTAGTCTACTAGTTTCTTTATTCACTAATTTCAATTATGTTTTTAATTGATGATACTGGAAAGATAATGCTTCTAGTAAGTAATCATGATGTTAAAAAAAAAAACAATGAGTAGTAATTCCAGGTTTTCTTCAGTTCCAGACACTGTCATCTATGACAACAGTTGCAACCTGCACAACTACTGTCTAAACCGGGATCCTCTACTGTTTAAGAACACTTGGTTCCTGGTAGACCGCCTTCACTGGAAGAACCACAAAGGTAATACATGTTTCTCCAGCTTTGTTCAGTGTTCTTTGACAAGCCAATATGATACATTCAGTGTTTTAAACAAATCATTTCTTGCCATGTTTTGTACAGTATAGGTAAGATTTTTACATGTCTTTTCATTTTGTCACCCACCCATTTGACAGGTTGCTCAGTGGGGTACCGGCTATCATCATATCCCCAGTATGACAGCATCAATTCTCAGGCAGTTGAACAGTGTAATTCTACGCTGAAAAAGTTGAAGGGACAGTTGTCCTATATGACACCCACCAACTTTATGGGCCAGGCAAAGCTGTTCCTGTGGTACAAAAACCAGACTATAGCTGATAAGATATGTTCGTAGATTGAATATTGTTTGATTATTGTGATTAATCTTTTCCTTCATTCCTTCAAATGTGATTTTTTTAATCAGTTTTTTTTAATCAGTATCATATAATTGATTTCAGTTTTCATGTACTTTATGTGCCAGGTGATACATTGCTTTTTTCAGGGGGGGGAACTTTCTCTGTGAATACTGAAATTTGAAGTGCATTATACTGCATATCATTGGAAAGCTTATTTAGCAAACTTCACAATGACATTCCGTTTGTTATGATCATGTATTTATATGTTGAGCACCACTTATCAGAGTAGGTGGCATAAGAGTTCTTTTATCATATGTACGCTATTTCAATGATTACCATAATATGTAACATCATTTAAAATCATGTATATTTTACTTCAAAATTATATGTTAGGATGTTATTTATGATAATGCTTTTGACAAACAAGTAAGTTGTGGGTTTACTGTTAATATGGTATTTTACGTACATGTAAGTTGTACACGCTATTCCTTCATTCCTTCAGATATGATTTTTTTTATCAGTATCATACTGATTTCAGTTTTCATGTACTTTATGTGCCAGGTGATACATTGCTTTTTTCGGGGGGGGGTGTTTCTTTTGAAAAGCACACCTAATGGAAGAAGTAGCAAAATGTTGAGTGAATGAGGTATTGTAAATCTGCTTTCTGTCAACAGAATAGATAACTTTTTGGTCGTGCTAAGGTAGAGACCAAAGTCACTGAGTTACATCAATTAGTATGCCTTGTTACATTTCCTATGTATTGTTGTAATGTATGTACATGTACTTGGCTTAACCTTTAGTACTATAATGTACCTGTTTGGCAACTTGTTATATGAGTTACGAAGCTGGGAGACAGTTTATCAAGACTGACTAAAGCATTCATCTTTACCAGTGCTGCATATTGCACACTCCAGAATATTGAGTAGCTTCACTGACATATCACCCTTTAAACTGATCAGTATTATATATGACTTTTTGATGATTTTGGTGTCTGATTTACATGTTCTAACCTAAGTCGATTCATTTTTCGGCCACGGTCATTTCAATGTCCAGGCACGAATGTCACACAGAGAGATAGGTACACGTTTCTGACAGTCTCGGAATCAAAGCAATGAGCCGACTCCTCTTGGCTAGGATGAATTTTGAGGCTCCTTACATAACAACTTTGTGTAATGTTGTATTGTAGTTTGCTAGGATTAGTTCTAACATTTTAACTACTAGTAGTGTGGTATACTAGAATATTGATCCTTGATTTTTGATTAAAGAATTTCTTTGGAAATATTACTGCTTTATTTTTTTTACTGACAAATAACTCCATTTAAAATTTGTTCCTTGGAATTGGCTGCAGCTAAACGGAAGATGTTTGAAATATGACCCAACCTAGTATGTTGACTTCATGGCTCCAATCATAATATTTGGAGCTATCATAGGATGCCTAGGCCTGTTTGGTGTACATGTAGCCTTACCACAAAACGAAAGAATCCCACAGAAATGTGAAGCATCGTCATATTTAGGTAGAGTTTGGGTTTTACACTATGAAACAGACATAATCTTCTATATAGGTCTGTTGGGGACCTTTTAGTGGGATTGCCACTTCCTTTTCAATAGCTATACTCAGCTTTTTTGGGAGAAAGGAACACTTTTATTTGCAAGAGTTGTAAGAAATCTATGCTTTAATCACTCAAATTTCAAGTGGAAATAACTCAATGATCAAACATGACATCAGCGTAAGAATGCATACAGTAACTTTGTAAGCTTTCTCGAGTACACCAGTCAAATTTGAAAAAAATCCGTTCAGTTTTAAGCGAGAGATGGAAAGCGACACGTTTTGAGACCGTGCGAAGCGAGGCCGCTTTGGAATGGTTACGCTTCACATAGACAATATTCTAGGTCATTTTTACCGCATAACGCAAAGTTGCATTTTCCTACCTGGACCGAGAAGGAAATGATATTTTGAGATGAAACTTGGACTTTTTTGTCCTGAAATACTGATCTACCTCTGCTGTTAACAGAAATACTCTTTCTTCAATTCTCGTAAAGCTACGAGCAATTCATTTGGATTCATTTTTCGGCCACGGTCTCAAATCCCACAGAAATGAGTATACCAGTCAAATTTTAATGGAAAGAGATTCGTTCAGTTTTCGGTGAGGTACGGAAACCAACAAATTCTAGCTCACACGATGCAAGGTCGCAAAAAAAAGTACTTTTACAGAAGTCTTGCACATGTAAAGCAGCCAGGTGCTAAACCTTCCACTGGAAGGTGCGACATCATTAGTAACATGATAAAAATGGACTTAACTTTTCAGATACATCTGTAAAGAAACTTGCAGTGGCAAGATCACTTCCTTTCTTGGTGGTTGCACTCAATTTTACTTTTCTTTCTAGGTCAACTCTTTCCAGGCCTAACTTTTAGCTTATATAAGTTAAGTTCAGCATTCGTGTTATCAACTAACCCTTGAACCTTGAACGTGGACATAGCCCAGGTTATTAATGGTACAGTGTCTAACCTGCTCCCCGGACATAAAAAGGTCACAATACTACCTGTATGGTGTTGTACCTGGTCCCCAGATGAAAATGTCACACAATAATTACCTTCATGAAGTCTTGCCTGGTCCCAAAGCCTAACAGCCGCGCATACTATACATGTATGGTGCCTTACCTGGTCCCCAGATGAGAAGGCCACAAAAATATTACCTGTACACTGCCTTACCTGGTCCCCTAATGAGGTTGTTTGTTTTACATCCTGATAGAGACAACCTTTTGTATAAGTCTGCGAGGTATCACCTCTTCCTTGCATATTTGTGTAAACCGAAAAGAATATTATATCATTTATCACCTCTATTATGTGATATCAGTGCACCTTGCCTGTAGTTTTTTAGTGGACCGCTAATTGAATGCGTTTCACGGTGACCCACTAGCCTCTCCAAAGTTCCTAGGACAGAATTATGATATTGTCAACGGAAAATGTATTTTTTTCGCGAATCCATACCCGAAGGCTAATTTCGGGAGGATATATGCAATGTATGTATGATGAATTAGGAAATAGTTGCAAATCTGATTAATAACTTCAACCGTAAAGTTGTACTTTACCGATTGACCTTGTTATCCAAGATAGCGGGGAAGGCTGTGGTACACGTTTTATTGATGACATGAAACAATTTCAGTAAACACGTAACACAGACAATCCCGTAGGACGTAGCAATCTGCTGAACTTGCTCTGAAACTTGCTCTGACTATAGAATACCGTAAAGCTAAGAGTTTCGGTCCCGCGGGGCAACTCTGTATGGCCTTGTACCGGCTTACTGAATCAATCCATCATTATATGGTACCATCTTTCATCAGCCAGTCAGACTCATAGCGGACCCAACTTGGATGGGAGGAGCTTATTCCATTAACATTGCTCCGCCTACCCGTGCGCGAGCAGACTTCGCTCTCTCTCTCTCTCTCTCTCGTCCATGACGGATGTGAAGCGCTGATCTCCTCTAGTTTTTTTGGGGCTTCTATCAAATGTGCAGGCAGATACAGGTAAGCCGCTATCACATAATTACGGGTTTCTGGCTACCTTTGACTCTGACTACCACTGACGAGCTTGAAGTAGTCAAATTAACAGAAGTTAGTTGAGGGCAGAGATCTTGCGAGAAGACGGTTATCTAATTAGAGGGTTGCGTATATCGCAGCCATACTTCTTGCACTTACCATACCACATTTCCATATCCGACCTATTGGGTATATGCAGTAATCGGGCTACTTTTCCAAGACATCAATAGATTATACAACTACTCTCCAACTGAGAGTTTCTTTGCCGTTTTCTGTCGGGGAGTAGAAAGGTCACAATCTTCTCCACCAACCTTTGCTTCGAGATTAGAAGAACTATAAGCACGGGTTGGAAAGTTCGAAAGCTTTATGATCTTTCAATTGACCTGATAAAAAGAAAAATATTAAAGGCCCGATACTTGTTGAGTTTCGTTGACGTTCACTCTGTCCGATAATAATCGTGAATTTAGCGGCGCGATCCAGAGATGGTGGTCCACCCATATGGGTCCTACTACGAGCCTCACTTTACCGTTGTTTACTGATAAGGATAACAACAATTCTCACCCTTCCCCCAGCAGTACCCATATCGTTACATCATTAATCTTTGCCGCATATCAAGAGTGAACTCGAAGATGCGTATGTTTCGAAGTTTCGCATATTTCACGAGGCTGGAAGGAACACTTTGTGCCACGGGAAACGTGCTTTTTTTTTCTTGGGTGTATTAATCATTTCCATGGACGACATCACCATAAATAGCCCAGACTCAGTAGTAGCCTCAACCAGGATGTGCGGATCGTTCGAAAAATAGACCAAAATAAAGGGAAAAGTATACCAGGGGAGTTAGCTGGTCAGAGAGGGTACATTTTACTCTCTAGCAGACCACCTCCCCTGGCATGTTATATCTCTTTTTGGCCAATTTCTACTCTTTCCAGCAACCTGGTAGAGGCCACGGACACAGCGCAGTGACAATCTATGATTTATAGGCTGTAAAAGCAGGGACAGTCTTGAAGCCCAGCAAGTCACCGATGGCAAACCCAGATAAATTGACTTCAAGAATGTTACAATTAAAACGGAACAGATGTCTCAGTAGCCTGGATATCTGAATAAAGGTACAGGTTTTATTTTACATGATCGACCCGTCTTAGTCAGGCTTCTCTGTCACAGAGAACCAGTAAATGTAACATTAGTCTTAAATCGAGCCTTGTCACTCTCAGGATCTCTAAGGTCATCTATAGTATTCTAGGCTAACCTAACATATGATGGGACTTCAGGCCAAACCAATATTCATTACTTAGTTGTCCTGGGGTGGCGTATTGGACCTCTCTGGCGAATGAATACTCCCTGGACAATTTGATACTGTCTTTTACCACCTTAGGATCTGCTTGGATATGGATTTCCACGCCTGCATGGATTTTCAATCGTTTCCAAAAAATGTCTTCTACTATACTGTAAATCGTACAAATTAGCTCGAAATGAGCAAGAAGAAAATGTGTTAGAAGGAATGAAATGTCTCTTATTCGCCTTGCCAATGAAATAGTACCCTGTGTGTTTAGTCATTTGTTCAACCTTCATGACCACGACAGATTTCAGAATGAAGACAACTTTTTTTTACAAACTTTATTTTTTTTCATTCGCACGCTCGCATCAGTTTTGGTGTTACCAGAGAGTGTCATCCTCTTTATCTCCCATAAAATCGGATCGACAAGCTGGATGCCAGTCCATCGTTGTTGGGGCCTGGTTCCCTTCGGGGCTATAAATTTTCCTCTCCGAACATGTGTGTTACTAATTAACTCCAAGCAGATCATACGGTGGCAAGGCAATGTCCATTGGTCAGAGGAGTGTCCATACTCCTCTCACCAATGGACATTGCCTTGCCACCGTATGATCTGCTTGGAGATTACGTTATCGTGGACCCCTTATGCAAGACCTTCCGGGGACGAGTAGATACAACTGTTACCCTTATTCCTTGGTACCTACTAATTATGGGAAGTTACTATAAACATTTGAGTTACCTAAGTATACAACAATTCTTTCATATTACAACGATTAAAACCTAATATTGCATGCATGTCAAAGATGTAAATACAAGTGCTTTTTTTTCTCTTAAAAATTGTATCCATGGCACTAGAGGTTGAAGATGTCACCTATATCTGGTCTGATAAAATCATGCAAAGGATATCCCATTATACCTTGAAGTACCGTACGGGATATGTTTTTTACCTTGTAGTAACCTGGGTGACAGACTGTTACCAGCGCCTACACAGGCCAGTTCCCTTGCTCCAAGGCCAACATTCCCATGAGTTTACCCTCTGGGTCTATCATGCTATGGTTCTGGCATCCCGGCTAACAATTTATTATATAAAATCAACCTGGAAGGAGTACAAGGAACATTTGAATTGTGTTGAACTTTTACGTTATATACATACATGTAACTAATGGTGTTCTATAACAATACATAACAAAACAATGCTGTACGATGCTTCTGACATCCTATACATTTATAGGTAATACCCAGGGTAATAAATTTATACATACAAAGAAAAACGAATTAATTTGATATATGGACCAAATTGTTATACAGATGGATGGCTTGAAGAAGGAATAAGTTCTTGAGTCTCTTTGTGTTGGCTGTTAGGATTTTGATAGCTGTACTGTTTCTTAAGTTCCACCCTGTGGCCAAAGTCCTTGTTGTGAAGAGGATGGTCCTCCTTGAGGAAGTCTTAAACTGCAGCTGTCTCCCTTCTTTCCTTCAATGTGGGTAGAGCAGGTAAACTCTCTTCTTTCCCACTCATTTGTTTGTCTGCATAGCTGTAGGAATGGAGGAAGAGTTACCATCAAGTAGCAGTGTGGACCATGCTGAGGGAGCCCAAGATGTACCGAAAAGAAAGGTAAAATCAACATACATGTTATAGGAAAAGACCAAGTCTAGCCAGCTCCCATTTCTCCATCAATTGCAGGAACTTTGTGGCGTGTGACGGAAAAAATTGAATCGGGTAATATAAAATAATTCAAAAGACCATCAAAAAACACTCTCAACCCCATGATTTGCCTATCAAAATGTGGGAACTTGTGTTTTGAAAGGTTTGAAAATTCAAAACTTGCCCCAGGCCTCCTAGACTGTGAGCACTCTAGATCTGGCCCTTAGGTCCAATCATGAACCTGGGATGATGGAAAGAAAAGTTTGAGCTGAATGTATATGGCATGTCTGTGTATCCTTACAGAGACGGAAGCGAGAAAGCTACATCTGGGAGTATAAGCAACAGAAGCTGCAGAGGATTCATGAAAGGGTTGGTTTGTTGATCTGTCTTTATTTTTGGCTATACCACTGAATTTATACCACACCATTAAAAACCACATAGATCCACACAAAACTTTTTCGATGTATATGCTGTATCGGGTTGGAAATTTTAGAGTACCAGCATGGTATTGACACATGTACCCTTACTATAGGTTGACAAGTTGACAAGTGGACCAGCTCCTCCTTCCTGTGTTTTTTTCTACATGGACTATGGGAGCAAACAGATTAAGAGTACAGGTAAGCTTGGTACTATTTCTAGTCTTTAATATACTGTCTGAACAGACATTTCACCAATTGATCACAGTCATACAAGATTTACAACTTCTTGACATGACCTATAATTATGCATCATCACAGGTCCAAGCCACATGAAGGAGTTTCTGCAAGATAGAACCATCCTGGAGAAATTCGAGAGGCTCAGTGCAAATCGGCCCACAAAGTTGAGACCAAGTGGTAAATATTAATTATCCTTTCAAACAGAATCTCAAATGAATGATTTCCTGCAATCAAGTCCCATATTGCTTCATAAACATCTCATAGATTACAGTATTCACATTCCTCTCTTCTTATCACCATGACATTGCCATTATTCCTACTTAAAATATTGGTGTCCCATTTACCTCAAGTTAAACTACCTCTAAGATGGCATTTTAGAGCAATAAAGCAATCTTCCACACAGTTATTAAAAAAGGTAAAAGTAGCCCAATAGCCCTGTAGATTTATGATAATGATTTCTTTATTTATGTTGACTGTACTTCTATGTTAAAAACCTTGAGGGATACAAAGTATTACTGTAGTTACTTAAACTCATTGTGCCAAAGTGATTAATCCACCGATTCAGTTGTAATTTCCATTAATGACCGTACTATTAATGATTTGTGTAAACAAGCATCGGAATTCACCCTTCTATGTCACGGCTGCGAGTTATGCTGTTATTGATACAAATAAATAAACCAAGAAGTGAAATAAAATGAAATAAAATGAAGGGTCCGTTAGGGCAGCGGATTGTTAAACCACTGTTTGGCATTTGGTATTGGAAGGCGGCGCCCATCCCCTCTCTTTCCATCATCTTTTACCTCCCCAACCAAAGTCAGGTACCCATTTTGCACCTGGGTGGAGTGAGGAAAGTAATGTGAAGTGCCTTTCCCAAGGGCACAAGATCGGTGACAGGGTAGGATTTTAACACAGGACTTTTTTTTCGTCCTGAGCCAAACACGCTACCACTAAGCCACACGACCCTATAAAGTTATTATGTCTGTGAAAATAACTTCCGACCATATATCAATAACATGCTGTAACATAAATGGCATTGATCTACCATGGAATTTCCAGCAGCATCTTATGTGTCTGACAAATTAAAATGTAAATATCCATGCAGGACCAACAGCCATGGAGACAATACCTGAACAGGAGGAGGAAAAAGCAAATGATGTATCATTACAGCAGATAGATCCCCACCAGATATCTGTGGCCAATCTGCGCCGAATCATTTCTTCCATTGCAAAAGGTAGACTTTTAAAATGATTTATGAAAAAGCTGTTATTGGTAACATGAAATTTAGCTAGAAATGAGATGTTAATGCTATCCAGCTGTGTTAAGTGGTAAAAGTGACCAAATATTTCTCCATGTATGTGTTCAAGCAAAGAGACACTGGTTTTCATAGGTACATGTAAGCCAATTGAATATCAATTGTTGTTTTACAGCACCAGTGTGTTGTGCTCTAAAGCTGACTCTAAATGCTGATGTTTTACTGTACCTGTCCAGGAAACAGAAACTTCTGGACACATGAAAATCGGCCAGGATGGTGGCCTGACGAGCTGCCATTTGCATCACCAAGTGCGCCATGTAAGTATTACCGCTACATCAGTGATCTACATCTGTAGTCAGTCTATCTGTAGCATCTTACAAAAAATATGACTTATAAAATGTCATAACATAATTATTGAAATTTTCCTTGTTTTCTGTAGGTATCATGGGAGGCAAGGAAAGGAAGCTCCGCTTGCCAGAACTGATCAAACTCCTCAGTGCGTACCAGATGTACCTACGGGCTAAGGTAAACTTTACTAGGCCACATCTTCCTTCCACCTAGCAAGAAATCACAGTACAACCTGAGGCGCAGAAAACCCACACAACCTCCCACTCAGTAGTGTCAGACACACAAAGTCAATGCATTTCAGTAATGTACTTCCAAGTGGATTTTGAATGAAAATTGAAGATCTGAAGATTAATACACAGATTTTTCTGATACTTAAAAATGGTAAATGTACATGTACTGGTAGTCCCTTATATATATATATATATATATAATAATAATATATTTTAACCTACACATACATACAGTCATCAGCTCTACCCGCGTCAGACTCCCATGGCCAGTCATCAGCTCTACCCGCCTCAGACTCCCATGGCCAGTCATCAGCTCTACCCGCGTCAGACTCCCATGGCCAGTCATCAGCTCTACCCGCCTCAGACTCCCATGGACAGTCATCAGCTCTACCCGCCTCAGACTCCCATGGACAGTCATCAGCTCTACCCGCCTCAGACTCCCGTGGACAGTCATCAGCTCTACCCGCCTCAGACTCCCGTGGCCAGTCATCAGCTCTACCCGCCTCAGACTCCCATGGACAATCATCAGCCACAATCAACCAGGTGAGAAAATAAAAATGTAGACATAAAAGATGTCCATGTCCAAGGGGTGTCTGTGTGGTGTAGTGGTCAAGCATCTGACTGTTAAGGAAGGGACTCGTAGTCCTGTAGTCCCTGTAGATTTATGATAATGATTTCTTTATTTATGTTGACTGTACTTCTATGTGAAAAACCTTGAGTGATACAATCCCCAGGGTTGCACCCTGACATGTCCAGACATTCATGTTGCGCCTGTATTTCCCCCCTTCGTTTAGAGGGATCCTGGGCCATACTAGGGATTGGGTTGGTGTTAGGAAAGGCATCAAGCTGTAAAAATAACCTTGCTTCCAAAAAAGACTAAGTGTTGCACTTGATGCAAGCACGTCTAACCCCCTCGGGGGAAAAAGGCCTTAAACTCAGATGTACCTATGTGCAAAAGTAAATTTGCAAGGAATATGATACATGTAATTGCAATCCATTACTAACACCATGACAGTTAATGATCTAAGGGAGTTTTCTTACTTATCAAATTCTGTCTTATCACACAGGAGCCAAAGGCAGCTTTGCAACGCCTTGCAAAAATCAAAGACTGGGACACTTTCCAGAAATGCTGCAGAGACATTGATGAGCACATTCAGCTGCCACAGTTGCAATACGCAACTTTTGAATCTGCAAGTCAAAAGAAGACAGGGTATAGATTTTTCAAATACATCCACAGCCACTACAATTTCTCTTATCTCCATTGATTAAATATTGGTAAATATCATTGTTATGTCTATTAACATTGTAATTGTGGAAACATCAAAATTACAAAAAAGTATCACAGAAGGTTACAGAAATAATGCAACAAGAATAGCAAATTAAAAATGTCCACATCTACACATGTAATGTAGATGCGGTTCTTCCTTATCATCACAGTTACACAAACATCCCTGTCAATCACGTGGCATTAGAGACAACTGGAGATGGGGATTGCTTGTTTAACGCTGTGAGCATCGCCTTAACTGGCAGTGAAGAACACGCAGCAACCTTTCGACTGGGAGCTGCAGCATATGGAGGCATGCATGCAGACCACCTCATTGAACAGGTATGAGCCAATTGAACAGTTACATGTAAGTTCTTCTAGTACTCACTTCTACTTCTGTGGTTGTGATCATGAATAGAAGAACTTTTCATTGAATCATTGAACCAACTTTATGAAATTATTCAAGGCAAATGTATGAGCCAGGTTTGAGCATAAATATTAAATACAAATGTACAATCAATGTAAATCATCACCCATGTACAAGAGAAAACAATATCAAGTATCAATGGTGGAAAGCACTTATTCTTACCAAGTTACAGTGTATTTTGCACATAAAGACCATTTCTAACTGGTTTAAATAACCCATACTCGTGCATGTGTAGCATGAAGTATAATACAGGTTAAACACATATTTGTTGGTTTTCCAACAGTACATTGCTGATGGCATCAGCAATGTGGGTTCTGCACAAATGCTCCTGCATAGCGTCTGTACAGAGGATACAGCTAATGCATGTAGTGCAGTCAGCCCGAGGGAGATCGTCGAATATGCCATTAAGGAGGAGGCAAAGGCAACATCCAAGATGGGATCATACTCTGGTATGTACATGTACAATTGGAAGTCTGCCTTGCCATTCTGCATGTACATGTAGTGCCTGGTAACTAATTACGCTTAGTAACAAAAGTTATAATAATAATCTTGGCCTCTCTATCATAAGAAAAAAAGTAAAAGTTACATTTTGTAAACACAGCTAGCCTATTCATTTATCAATGCAAGTAGACCAGGTGGAATTCAACAGTCTGGTGGGTAAAAGTTCTTAAATGTTTTTCTCATCAGGACAAGTTGTTTTGTAACATGTTACAAACGTTATATTCTAATACACAATAATATGTTGTCTTCAGGGCTGATGCAGACCTCCTTCCTATCGGGCTTCTGCAAACATATCATCACTCTGCACTGCCAGGATGCTAGCATCACCTGGTATGACAACAGGCCCATGTCTCCATGTGGATGCGTGGACTTTGATGTCATTGGGGAGGTGAAGGTGATGCTCGTCAGGCGAACCGAACTGTCACAGTTAAACCACTTTGTGGCTTTGATCAGGTCAAGTGGTGAGTCAATGATAAATTTGTTTTCAAAGTTGGAAAATGAACCTACATACCAGTAGTAATGAAACTCTTACTCTCATTGCATTCAATTAGCTTGCCCTGATACTATTTTGTTGACAGGCTTAAAGTTTCATTTACAGTAGTCCAGATATTCAGATGGAGCTCAAGCTATATCAACTTCAGTTCACATTTTCCTTTCATACCTTGTATTCAAAATGAAAATCAATCTATTTGCTATGTTTCCGAGTTATCAGTATTTACAATACTGAGTGATAAGCAGACACCATGGATTCCCATACCATTTTTATCAATCTGTCTACTCCCAGTTATCTCTCCCATCACTCACCTTCAGCTGCAAATTCCATACATTGACTACCATCTACAAACTGATGAAGGAACACTGTCCACACCACCTACTCGGTCTTTTACCAACCACCAGTGACCAGGTCACACTGGCCATTGAGCCTAGACATCCCCTAAGAAACCTTTCTGCGCAAAGCCACAAAAGTGTAAGAATGCAGAAAGCCTTCTTCCACAGATCCATCCAACTCTGCAACTGTCTTTCAATTGAAACACGTGCATATACCTCACTGTCTTCCTTTAAAATGAAAGCATGAATCTCCATGGATACCCGTTCTCCCCGAAAGTCACTTTTGGCAAAACTTTAAACTGTCGGTAATTCTTACCTGCAATAGGTATTATAAATCCGTTAACTGCAAAATATTTGACCCAATGAACGTTTTTCTTAATGACTGTATACTCTATGTTTAACCAATTGCACATACTTTTTCCAGGCTAGCTCTTTATAATACAATGTAGCTATCATACATTTGTAGCTAGTTGACCAGCCCAGCTTATTTGCTAAACGAATAAATATATATAACTTAATCTATATAAATAAATACAATACTAAGCTGGAAGTACATATGTAAATACTTTGAACAATCAACAAATTATGTCTTATCTGTGTACATGTATGTGCATTGTAAATTCTAATGCTCTCTCAATAATTCCAGGAAGAGTGTCAAGACGGGAGGAAAGGCCTCCAATACCCAGGCTTCCTGGTATTGAGGCGGAGTCAGCATGTGTTGCCACCCTTGGAATGGGGTGTGCAGTGAAGAGGTACTGGGAGAAACAAATGATGGTCCAGTGCGACAGATGCAAGTCGTGGTCCCACAACAGGTGCATACCAGTACCAGAAAGGGAGGAGTGGGAAGCACTCCCTTTCTGCTGTTGTGCGGAGGACAAAAGAAAGGCATTCCACAACACCCCCAACATAACGTATGTTAATAGAATTTATGTCAGTGCACAAGAACAAATGGAATGTGTTCCATATGAACCCTTATCAGAAGAAAATGTAAATCTAATCTAACTGTACACTACAATGTTCCCAAAATTGGTTTGCATTTAGAATGATCATCTTATCATGAATCAATTGACCTTCAAATATATATAGAGAGATGTTGACAAAGTGTTGTTTTTCCCTAGCTTGCTGAACAACCTTGCCACTTATAAGGGAAGCCCCTGGCGGGTGCTTGTCAAACTTGCGGATGTGGTCAGCCTCAAGCCGACCTATTGGCTGACAAGTAGCCTGGTTGACTTTTATGGAAGGTCAGTCATTTATGAATTACTGGTTTGTGAAATTACACTTAATTGTATCTGTGGACTTCAGAAAGAAAGATCATTTTGTGTCTAACACTGAAGGATCTGTACTGTTTCTATACTGTCCCATTAGCAGCTACATTGTGTTAACTTAGGCCAAGCCAATTGAACATGGTGGTGCTTTGATTTGTAGTACAAAAAATATGAAGCGACAGAAAAAAAACAGGGTGGTTTGATATTTATGCAACAACTATGAAGATAAGGGCTTTCTTTAAGTGTAGAAGCCACAATATGAACATTTTAGAGTTGATTCAGACCTGATTTTTTTTTTAATTTGTAAAAACAAAGCTAGAAAATACCAGATCCAATTGATTAAATTGGTGTGGCCCTATGCAATAAAAAACAGATACTGTGATACATATATCTAAGCACAATAAATTTTACTCCAGACACCTAGCATATGCCAAAGCGCAGAATGAGGAGGCATTTGGAGAGGACACCACCATCAACTTCAAGATTTTGCCATCCACCTTCATCTTACAACTGGAGCGTGACATCGCCAGACAGAAGAGTCCCTCTGCAGTGCATAAGAGCTACGTGAAAGACATGCAAGGGATACAGTTCATAATTATCCCAATTTGTCGGTAAATACTGGAAACATCTTTTCTAAGCATTGATGATATTGTCACTGAAGAGAACATACAATTTAAATTAGCCTCTAAAACAGAAAAAAACACAATATTGTATCAATTAACTTAATACATGTATGTACATTATCTGAGAAACATTTTAAGAAATTGTACTATCTGATAAATATTCTGATTATTGACTGTAATGTGTGCATGTTTTCCTATCTTACAGTGAAAACCACTGGTGGCTCTTATGCATTACTGAACCAAATGACCACAAGAGGTAAGACATTTTCCATGCATTATTATAATACATTATTAAAGCTAAGTCAAACCAATAAAACTACATGTATTATCTGATAAATCTATGAGTTTGGGAAATGATTTCAAATTGAAAAAAAAAAGATTTCCTTTTAAGAATTAGTACATATAACGTTAGGTTATGATAAAAAATTGCGTTCAATTTTGCGATGAGAGGAGGGTTAAAATTTATGGAAAGGCAAAACCATTTTAGATATCATATGTGAAAGAGTTATTTCCTATATCTCTCACAGGACTTGCCTGCTAGTGCTGGACAGTTTGGCACCAGGACCAGCACACCACAGGGAAATTGACGCCATCAAGAGGTGACAATCTTTATTTGCTTACTGGCAACATTTTCAATTTGAATAATTTTTCAAAAATCCATGTGAATATGTCAGGGTTGTATGTGTGGGTTAGTTCTTCTGCATGTTTGTGGTATTAGGTCTTGATAGATCGGTATGTGGATTGGTTTGGAGAAGATAAAGGTCAACTTGGATCAAGGCCCTCCTGACTTTCTTAGTACTACAGCAGAACTTTTTTTTACCTGTAGCCATGAACATGCAATACATTTTTGTGTCAGATAGATTTTTATAACAGGAAATAATGGTGTAGGTTTATTCATGCTGGTAGATTGTTCTGGAACTACAGGGGCCTTCTTAGTAAAGTCTTTGACATGGTAAATCAAAACAATTTTTTTATTATTTCGGGCATATACCTTCAATAAATGTAATATATGGAAAACATTAACAGGTAGCAATTAACCAATTATGAAAATAGGAGCCTAAATTGCATAATTGACACAGATGTACTACATGTATAATGAAATGCTACCACAAACAAGATTATAATCTATCAAACATAAATAGTGTTCAAGTGAGTAAAGCTAATTGAAGTTGATTCTCAAAGGCATCAGATTGGCATGCACTTAACATGGCTAAACTTATCATGGAACTCAAATGTATTCCCACAGGTACCTGTCTGCTGTAACAAAAGAAAACTGTACCTCAGTAGCAGTGCTGAATGTTAAGGTGAGCTCTACAAATATCTATCCATTTCATAATTGTAATGATTTGCAATAAAAAAAATTAAAAAATACACTACAAATAAAGATGTGATTTTTCATTTTGCAAACTTATGCTCGTTACAGGAATGAAATAAATTCGTACTGGTTGTGTTGTTACTGGTTGTGAAGCATTCTTTCTGGTTAGTTTGATATCACTTGGTCATCATAACTTCAAAACCATTTAACACCAATAAAACTACTAGTAATACATGATAGGTATGAATGAAGAAAGACTTCTGTAGACAAAACTACTGTTCTGGTGTTAGGGAACATTGAATGAGTTGCAAGATTCCATGTTCTCTTAGCATCAGAATAGTGTAGTTTTGGTCAAAACATCTTGGTTCAGTGAGTAATACCTATCACATTTGTGTATTTTCGAGAACTGTTGTATTTTAGTGTTATTGGTGTTAATGGACTTTAAGAACGCCTTTGTGAATTGTGATGATATTTGGCACAGTATGTTGGTAGGTCTTGGGGAAACAAAGGGTCAAGGTCAAAATTGGGCCTCCTCATGGCTGACTTCTGGTTGTGTATATTTTCTTCTAAATATGCTATAGTCAATATTTTTGTGACTGATAAAAAGATTTGTAGACCCTGGAACTACAATGTACATAGGATGTCTCTGGTGATTCACAGTTAATACTGTAAATGATTTTGTATTTGCACTACTATATGTACGGTCACTTTTGTACTGCAGAGCTGTCATTACCACTAACAAATACTTGTACTAATAATTCACCTACTTTCTTTCTTCTGCACCTGCCACCATGTCCATGGAGGTAACAGAAGTTCTTATCACTCTGATCCCATCTGCTTTACAATGTAGGTGCCCCCTCAAGAGAATGGCAACGACTGTGGCCCACACATCCTATACAACATGGAGTGGATTGTAGAGGTAACCTACACTTTCAAGACTTATACAATACACATTTACATTGAGTTTTAACACCTCTTCAATGGTTTTCTTTGCAGATTAAAAATATGAAACAGCGTCATATTTGCTGTATACAAAGCGGAAACATATACGTAACTTTCAATGGCTGTACTTGTAGAAAGGTTTCTCTGCTAAACGAATTCTTTTAATGTATAAAGACTTAAATCATGACATAATCTTGTGTATAGTAGAAGAATATATGATATTCAGTTTCAGTTTCAGTTTCATTAATACTAATTCATTATCACCTTTTTATTCATATCTTCAGAACCAGCCCAGCTGTATGGAAAACTTGGTGATTCCTCGACCTGAAGAGAACATTGGGATCTTCATGCGAAGGAAGATCAGGAAAACACTCTTCATGTACTTCAAATTCAATGAAGCTATACCAATGAGTGCGTAGGGTTATTAACAGCAAAAGTTTCTTGAATGTCATTTAGCTTTAATATTCACCTCCTGTATACTCACCTGAATCCAGGCCAGTAGGTACCCTTTCCAGGGTAATGAGGCTATCTGTGTGGTTTATGCAGTTTTGGCAGTCAGTATGAAAGATGTAACTGTAACAGTCTGGGTGATGTTTCCACTCCAAAGCCAATTTGGTCTTGAAGGCATTACTGAGCTAATGTCATGATTCACTGTTCCTGGTGAGAGTTTGTTCCAGACTGGGGTTGCTCTTGCTGAGAAGAAGTTGGATCTGGGTCCATTTGATTTTGAATTTGGAACTTGTAGGCATGCCCTCTAGTTTATTTGGATTCACTTGGCATGAACATTGACTTATTACATCTAGGTTACAGTGGTTTTCTGTACGCAGCTTGTAAAGTCCCTGGGAAATCTTAAACTCCACAATATCGGCTCTCAGACAACGGAAATATAGTATTGGTAAATCCAGGACTATGAGCCTGCCACAGTATGGGAGATGAGAAATGGACTGAACAATCAAGATGCCCTACGCTGCACTCTCTCCAGAGAGTCCTGATTCCTCCTTGTTTCTTGACTCAAGATGACTCTGGCATACAATGTATTTGAGATGGGCCTAACAAGACTTTTATACAAAAGTGAAAATGACTCTATGTCCAAGTGCTGGAAAGTGTGCTTGATAGTTCCTCACAGTTTGTTTTGCTCTGTTAACTTGCCCCTGAACAAGCTGGCTAAAGGTCAGTTTATGGTCAATCAAAACCCAGAGATCCTTCTTTGTTTGTGGTGCACACCATTCTCTTTGCCCCTTGTATATCTGGGTTAGGGATTATGTATGGGGATAATCTTTTTTTTTTTAATTTTTAAGATTTTTACTGTATTTCCAAGCATGATACAAGTTTGTGGAAACTTCTCTGAGATTCTTAGTTGTTTTAAGAAATGTACTTACTTCTTGATCTTAAGCAGCAGTACCTTAATATATATGTTGATTAAGGGTACTGACAGATTATTATTGCTCTTTTTCTTATAAAAATAGATAAACCCCAGTTATGGTCACCTAGTGTAGAGCAGTCTAACATACGTAGTATAGCTTTCTAAATTCAGACTGACATTGTATTAGGAGCCCAAGCTTGTGAAGGTACTGTACTAAGTACATGTACATGTATGTGTACAGTCACTTAAATGTGGATTTATTCCTCAAGAATATTAGATACACCAAGTATAAGGGCCATGATCTGTTCACAGTTATGTAGTTTTTTGTCTTTTTTGAGAAGTGGCACGATTTCGTACATTTTCCGTTGTCTTAAAAAGTTCTATGCTCCCACTTTCAACACCCGATTCACTAGTGTGGATATTATGTACCGCCCGGTAATCCCATTCACATTTCTGAGATGTGAGATCATGAGGTGTGTTGGATATATAGTCTTATTTTTAAACACATGGTTAAACAAAAAATGATCAGTTGTCAACTGTGCAAAATGGTAGATAGTGATGAGAGACACTACCCCATCCTCTAGTTTTACTTCATACAAAGGTTATTGCCTACTTTGTTTAGAATGTTAGGAAAAACACTAGGCCTAGAACCTCTTTAAAATGTGGTCAACAATGACCACACACAGACATGTTGTGTTGAGAAACAATAAAATAAGAAGAATAAAGAAAAAATTAAGCAATGGTTGTCTTGTTATCAGATTAATGAATCAATGAATTATGAATGAATGGTTCTCAATGGATGATTCTGATAATCAGCCATTTAAATACCTTACACACAGCCACTGGCTGAATTGAACACATTTTACAAATGATGAATCACATCACCAACAAAAAGATTATGAGACCATAGGTGAACTGTTGAAGTCACTTATTTTCAAACTATAGCCAATAGGAAGTATGTGAATTAAAAACATTGCTCTGTAAAAAAGATATTATATAGTGTTTGTATAAAGCTGTGTCTAAAAGAGGAAGAGTGTACTGACATCCCAGTGAAAGGTGGAACTGTGCAAGAGTCACACATAGACTAAGTCACTTAATGAAAAATTCATACAAATTTTACCTGCAAGGCACTCTACCTGGTCACCAGATGAAAGGGCAGTACATATATTGCATGTAGGGTGCCATACCAGGTCCCTAGGCCTAGGAGCCACCTACAGGGTAGTCATTACCTGCAAAATTAATGAACAAAATTGGGAATTTTTGCCTATCCACAGAAAAAAAAAACATTTTCAGCAAACATGATTGGTGGTAGCAGAAATACAGAAACACTGACTATACTTAAAGACAATTAAAATGATGACAAAATTTTTTTGCCATCATTCACTGTGAGAGGCATACCAAATACACCCATACAATACAAGACTTTTCAGGCGATACTGGTACCTGACATCATTTCACATCATATTTTACTTATTTCTTACTATCAGGTCCCTTACAGTCATACAAATAAAACATGTACATGTCCCCAGACCTAAGAGCCGCAGAAATATTACCTGTACTGTGCCTTACCTTGTCCCCAGACCTAAGAGCCGCAGAAATATTACCTGTACGGTACTTTACCTGGTCCCCAGACCTAAGAGCCGCGCATATATTACCTGTACGGTGTCTTACCTGGTCCCCAGACCTAAGAGCCGCGCATATATTACCTGTACGGTGCCTTACCTGGTCCCCAGACCTAAGAGCCGCGCAATTATTACCTGTACGGTGCCTTACCTGGTCCCCAGACCTAAGAGCCGCGCATATATTACCTGTACGGTGCCTTACGTGGTCCCCATACCTAAGAGCCGCGCAATTATTACCTGTGCGGTGCCTTACCTGGTCCCCAGACCTCAGAGCCGCGCAAATGTTACCTGTACGGTGTCTTCCCTGGTCCCCAGACCTAAGAGCTGCGCATATATTACCTGTACGGTGCCTTACCTGGTCCCCAGACCTAAGAGCCGCGCATATATTACCTGTACGGTGTCTTACCTGGCCCCCAGACCTAAGAGCCACGCATATATTACCTGTACGGTGCCTTACCTGGTCCCCATACCTAAGAGCCGCGCATATATTACCTGTACAGTGCCTAACCTGGTCCCCAGACCTAAGAGCCGCGCAATTATTACCTGTACAGTGCCTTACCTGGCCCTCAGACCTAAGAGCTGCGTAATTATTACCTGTACGGTGCCTTACCTGGTCCCCAGACCTAAGAGCCACGCATATATTACCTGTACGGTGTCTTACCTGGCCCCCAGACCTAAGAGCCACGCATATATTACCTGTACGGTGCCTTACCTGGCCCTCAGACCTAAGAGCCGCAGAAATATTACCTGTACGGTGCCTTACCTGGCCCCGAGACCGAAGAGCCGCGCAAATATTACCTATACGGTGCCTTACCTGGTCCCCAGACCTAAGAGCCGCAGAAATATTACCTGTATAGTTCCTCAACTGTTCCCCAGACCTAAGAGCCGCGCAAATATTACCTGTACGGTGCCTTACCTGGTCCCCAGACCTAAGAGCCGCAGAAATATTACCTGTACGGTGCTTTACCTGGTCCCCATGAATTAAGAGCCGCCCAATTATTACCTGTACGGTGCCTTACCTGGTCCCCAGACCTAAGAGCCGTGCAAATGTTACCTATATGGTGCCTTACCTGGTCTGCAGACCTAAGAGCCACGCAATTATTACCTGTACGGTGCCTTACCTGGTCCGCAGACCTAAGAGCCGCGCAATTATTACCAGTACGGTTCCTCAACTGGTCCCCAGACCCAAGGAGGTTAAAGAGGCTCTTTTTAAACCTTCTTGCCAGACCTAAGACTAAGAGACGTGCATATAACCCACCTGTACGGTGCCTTACCTGGTCCCCAGACCTAAGAGTTACATAAATATAACCTTACAGTGTTACCTTCAAGGTGTATTATCTTGTCCCCTGGACTAGATATAAACAGCCGACAAATAGAGTAACGTTTAAAAAAGCCAGAGGGGATGTAACGTTAACGACGTTAAACGTACGGAGTGTTACCTGGTCCCCTGCGCTAAAATCCCATCAAATATATTTATCTGTAGCAGCTTATCTGTACCCATTTCCTTGCTCCCATGAGCTAAGAGCCACTCAAATGCAGTGAATATAGACGTAAAAACTGACGTTTTAGGCCTAGAATCGACGGGAAAACGCTGTAGCCCTCCCCACACCGACGAAACTGCGCTATTCCTGCAGCATGTATATTTGCACCAATAGGATTTAAGCATTTAAGTATCCTGACCAATAGCAGCATGGCTCTTCATCGTGGCTGCTCTGTGGAAATTTCGACTGGCGATACCTCTCCATGTGAAACCCTCAGATGAAATAGACTATACCACTAAAAGTAGGGGGTGACGTTGTTATTTATTGCTGAAAGGTTTCTAAAATTCACACTTATAATCACAGTACCAAGAAAATAACAAAAAAAAAATGATAAAATGAAATTATAGAAATTATCATTAAAAAGAAAGGGTGAAAAGAGAATGCTTTTGTCTTTATTTTATCCACACCCCTGGATGACTAATGTTCCAAAACGGAAGTGATGTAATAGCTCTCGTTCTCAAGGCTATGAACGTCGAGTAAACAGTAAACTGGGTAAAAGACGCCAATATAGGCCATATCTTTCTAAAATGACATTTCTTTTTTAGATTTTTAAAAAATTTCTGAAAATGTTCTGTTTTATGAATCACAATTTTGTAACTTCACAAACTTGGGGTACTGGGAAGGAGAGTTTTTACATAAAACGCATGCGCATTAATGTGGCCATCTTGTTCCCGGTTTGTCATCTACCCGTGTAAAAATCGTGAAATTTTGTGATGTTTTGAGGATTTGTTACGTCAGAAACCTTTATTATTACGTCTGTACGAAGGAAGAGGGATGTTTTCCGTCAGCGGGCTTCAGCCTCAGGTAAGCAAGCTCGGAATATCGTCGTTTTATATCGTTTTCTAAGCAAGGAACCTTGCATAATAGCAAGTGAAATTATGATTATTTTTGAGGAACCCACTTTTGTAACCACGAAAAATCATTGCATAATCTGAGCAATATTCGCAAAATGCCGATTCAGTATTCAACGTAAGGTAGATATTGTTGAAACACATTGTCTTCAGACTAGAAATTTCCTTCTGATGTGACCTGAACGACTTGAAAAGTGTATTTCCCAAGTTATGTACAAACGTTACATGAGGGTCTGCATGCCCTTTTTCGTTAACCGTTATGGGCTGTTTTAATTTACCGTTAATCGTTGCCGACCCGCTCTAATTCAACGTTAAGCGTTATCAGTATATTCATCGTGAAGCGTTATTGGTCGTTTTAATTCAACGTAAAACGTTATTTGTCATCCTAAATTCAGCGTTAAGCGTTAATGAAAAATTCTTCGTCACACCTAATTTTGCCTTTCAAAGTGCAGGAAAATGCGTCATTAAACGTTTAAAAATACAAAATTTCGCGGGGGAGAGTGCCCCCGGACCCCCCTACATTGCTCGCGCCTTTAGCGCTCGACTCGCGCTTCTGCGCTCGGTCCCCTTCGGCTCTAGCCAGCACCAGTTTTCCGTCAAATACCGGAAGTTTGCGGAGAGTTACAGAATTTTTTTTACGAATCCGTCAACCTTGACAGACAAGATTAACAAAATGAGTAAAAATATGAAAACATCAGAAGGACCGACAAACACTCTCAACACCATAATTTGCCTCTCAAAATGCGGGAAATTGCGTTTTTGAAGGCTTAAAAATTCTAAATTTCCCGGGGGAGCATCCCCCTGGACCCCCCTAGACTAGCGCCTTCGGCGCTCCCTCTCAAAATCCATCGGTAAAACTGGGCGGACGGAAAAAAGTCCAGCTGGGTAGAGCCCTGGCCAACGTCGACTCGGACTCCCCTTTATTTGTGGACGCACTCGGGGGCCAGGGCAGGTGGGGAACACAGGGAACACATACCTTTGATGCGTGCTTCATTACATGTAAGGTATACGTAATTTTGTCAGTGATCACCTTTTCTCAGAAAGCGAGATACCAAATCCAGTGCAGCTCGAAAAAAAGCCTGTCAATTTACCGTTAAGCGTTATCGGCCCTGCCGAATTTACCGTTAAGCGTTATCGGCCCTGCCGAATTTACCGTTAAGCGTTATCGGCCCTGCCGAATTTATCGTTAACCGTTGCCAGGACCCCCCCATGCAGACCCTCTTACATGTATCTGCCTTGGACGTCCTTGCTAGCTGGAGTTGACATCATTTTATACACGTGCGCACATAGGTCAAACCATCAGAAACTGAAAATAGTTTTCCTTGCCTTGCCATACTGTGAATCGAAGACTTTGTTTTCTCAACAGACTACCGATTTGACGCATCAAATTATATGGTTAGGTAATATGCAAATGATGTTGATAATAAATTGTACTACTGATCTTACAAACATGTAGGATTATAGGTATTGTGGACAACAAAATACATAACATGGTTTCATGGTATATCAACAGGCATTTTAGGATGTGATCTTGTATTATTTTGTTACTCAATTCATGATTATCATCGAATGATAAAGAAATGGAATCAACCAAAGTACAAGTATTTATTTTCCTCCAGCTGATTGCACCCCTGTCTCAGGTGGTGAATGTCTTCAACTCTCTGAAGAGTTCGGCAACCTGTCATACGTCGGCATGGCAACGACTCCAACAGAAGAAATGTCAGGAACACAGCGAGTTCACGGTGTCGGATGCGAGCGTAAGTACTCACAACATCGCAACTTGTGTTGGTCATCGGATTTCATGTATATTAATATCACATATTTCACTTGACAAGTTGTTATGTTTACTGAAGGAAAACATTGTTTTTGCTACATTTCCTCTTCTTCTTCTCCAAACCAAATCAATGACCTGAACCAGACTGTCTGTTACCATGGTAACTAGTGTTGGGTTACATCATGTTGCAATTTTATAGCACGAGGGATTTAGACTCCTGCCTGACCATGTATATGTAATGTGTTTGAGTAAGACTTAACAGAGCAGACCATATGCGAAGGTAATCATTATGCATTTGCTTTGCAAATGTTACCTTTCTAATTGAAATTCTTTTGCCACCCTATAAAATGTAGTATAATACATTGGATGCCTTTAAGACACAGACAAAATGGTTCATAACTTATGTTATGACCCTTTCTCCTTCACAGGTGTCTCAGATATTGAAGGAGCTCGGTTTATCGGGGATTCCGCCCTCTGTCATCACCCAGGAGGTCAATAACCTCTTACCCACAGCCCTCGCACCTCTGTTGGACAGAAAACCCAGCCACTGGCAAACCAGCTATGTTTCAGCAGAGTCCTTTTTTGAAAATAAGCATGGTGAGTAAGCAGTAAGCACTGACTTGAAATTAAGAAGGATATGATTTTGTGATATGTTTTCGCTTCAGTGTGTATTTGGTTTTGTATGTCCTTATTTGAGTGCTGTTGAATATGTTTTCTAGGCATGCCTCCCCGGTTGTTCGAGAGTTATACCAGAAGAAATATGTCCAGCCTGCTGCCAGCTCACATCAGTATTCAACCTAGTCTGCCCATCTCCCCAGGTAAGCTATGATCTGTGTGATTTAAAGTGGTCCATGTAGGATTTGGACACTTTTTGAAGTCAATTATCTTGAATAAAGAGATTCTTTTTACACAACCAAGACTTTTATTCAGCCGACGTTTCGGTGACTGTCTGTCTCCTTCCTCAGGGCAATTTTGACTGGATCACATTGCTTTGCCACTTATTGTATTCTTTGTCCGTGTCTTTGCAACATGCAATGTTTTGATAAGCCTTCATCATCCCCTTGACAGTTTTACAGCAGAGACGTGGCTTCAAAACTCGAGCTCAGCGCAGCAAACTCAAAATGGAGGAAGAGGAAGCAACCGGGGTTCTGTCTGGCATGAAGGTACTGTTTTTTTTTACTCTGGGTTTGGAAGTATTGTTTTGGGTGGCTTACTGGTGAGTTTGTATGTTTCATGTCTCAGTGGCAGTGGTTGCATGGAGGGTTGGATGTGGCTTTGACAATTGATGATTATGTATATCGAAGGAAAACATATTGTTTTTGCTCTATTTCCTCTTCCGTTCCAAACACAAAAGGTCATTGACCTGAACCAGATGTTTGTCACCAAGGTAACTAGTGTCGGGTTACATCATGTTCCAATTTTGTAGCAGGAGGGATTTAGACTCCAGTCTGACCATATATATTTAATAGTTAAGTCATGGTTGAAATTTTTCGTTCATTAGTCATTACGGAAGACATGTTTCTGCTAGCATAACATCACTCTTTTATGTTGTCTTTTTTCCCACTAGTCGACCCTTGCTAAAGATAAGCCCATTGACGTGAACAAGATTGTGAAGGAACACAACATTAAGGAGGGAAACCGAGAGGCCTTCAAGTTTGGTTTTGCCGATGGCTACCTGATGGCACAGGCACAGTCACTCAAAGGTTAGTCTCTGGCAACTCGTTGTTAAAAGTTATAATTCTTGAGGAGGGGGAGTAATAACTTTCAGAAAGTAAGTTTTGACCAATGCATCATCTGACTTATAAAACCAGCTGTTTTTTTTTTTACTTTTGTACTGGTCTAATTTTCCCTTTGTTAAGTATACCCAGAAATGTACATAGTTTTTACTGGTTCAAAAAGAATTTGTGTGACTGAATTTCATGAAATTTTGTCATGTTAAGCACATTTATGATGATCATGATGCCAGTGTGAAGATGTCTCATGTCACTTTAAGTCCCAATGAAACCCAGTCAAATTCCTAAAACTGTCCTACAGGAATTGATGTGAACAAACTTGCAGCCAGTCGTGTGAAGGGAGGTGGAGACCAAGACGCCTTCAAGAGGGGGTTTGAGGAAGGTTTTCTGATGTCAAAGGAACATGTCCCAAAGACAACAAGTAAGACTTTAGATGCTTCAAGTATCTATTGTAAGATTTCTTAGTCCTCAATATGTAACTTGCTTTGACATGGCTTGTTTTGTACTTGATCATTTATGTTCTTGTACAATGTAGTGTAAGTTGGTACATAAACCTCACATGGTGATACATAAATATCAGTCCAAACTGCCCAAGACAACTCAAGGGACTGATAAAATTTGGTCTATAATGTGTGGACACTATATAGACATGATTCTTAATGGCAAAATGTGATCCCATAGGCCAAGTGGTCCTTATGTCACTGTACTGAAAACTTACAATGCTAACGTTGCTGATGATTAACCTATGTTTCTCTCCAGCGTGGACCTCATACTTCATGCGAGCCCTGGGCAGTACCCTGGTCTTCACCATCATCTTCATCATCCTCATCAACCTGTTGGCCATGAGTTTCACCTCTGAGATGAGAGGTGGGACCTCTTCTCTGTCAGGTTAGCCGAGGACATGGTGTTCTGTGGTGGTTGTGTCTATCTATACCTCCTCTGGCTTCTCTTTCCATCCTTCCATTTTCCTCCAGCCCCTTTTCCTTGTATACCTTCTTCTTTTCAACTCATCTAGACTTTTTTTCTTGATTGGTATTATCCATCCTTCCCTACCTTACAAGTTATTTCATATTACCAACATTTCCTTTTCGAGTTGTTTTTATCATTTCATTTTCACTAATCTGTTGCATATATGGTCTGGAAACATTGTTATCCCCCTTAGTGTTTGATATTAATTATCAAGCCCGGCCCTTGGATTTTCCACCTCTTCAACTTTTCTTACTCTCTCCTGTGTGCTGTAAAATGTGTACACTGTAAAAAAAATCCTGGTGAGAACCCTGCATTCCTCTTGCACCAACAGGCCGGCTGCGTTTTTCTGGCATGGACACGTCGGTACAGGCAGTAAAGGACAACAACGTGACGTTTGACGACGTGAAGGGGTGCCAGGAGGCGAAGGAGGAGCTACAGGAGGTGGTGAAGTTCCTGAGAGACCCAGACAGATTCACCAACCTGGGAGGAAAACTACCAAAGGGTTAGTTAGTGTGTACATCTGTGGAAGAACTTTGAAATGTCTGTGAGGCCTAGGAAAATTAATGTTGTGTTTCTGATTTCAGTCCAGGGTCGGTACGTAGGGATTTTCTTCATGTTTTTTTTTTAGATTTCAGCTGAAGTGATCCAACAAGCTAAGTTTAGAAATGTACAACTGAAATGTATCAGGACCACGGCTTTTTCTTGGACCAGTCCATTTGTTTGCTTGTGAATACACTGTATTTCTGAAAATGCGTGAACTGAAGTTTGAGAGGGTTAAATAGTATTCAAAATATGTTGTAATATATATTTTATAAATTGCTTTTACTATGTACATGCAAATAAATATCATAAAATTACAAATCAAAATCATATACTAAATAATTTATTCATAACATTAAACGTTATGTATTACCTTACTTTCCCCCAGGTGTGTTGCTGGTTGGCCCCCCTGGCACAGGTAAGACCCTGCTAGCGCGCGCCGTGGCAGGGGAGGCAGATGTACCGTTCTTCTACGCCAGCGGGTCAGAGTTCGACGAGATGTTTGTGGGAGTGGGAGCCAGCAGAGTACGCAATCTGTTCGGTGAGATTTGACTTTCCTCACAATTTTATCTTCATCCAACATATCTGTGATAATAAGATTACCTGCACCAGTGCAGGTATGCATAAAACACTATTTCTAGCCTGGGTTCTGGAAAACTTTGTGATCCTGACTGTGAACTCTTTCAATCTGTGTTAGCTATATCTCAAAAATGTTTTTAAAAGTAGCACCTATCAACAAGCTGCTAGGCATAGGGGCCCAAACTCATGTCCCTTCTTCCCGAGCACAAGAGCTATCTACCATCCAAAACTTTGTGACCCTGACTGTGAACTGTTGCCCTTCAGCTGCGGCTAAGAAGAACGCGCCATGTGTGGTGTTCCTGGATGAGTTGGACTCGGTGGGGGGGAAGCGAGTGGACTCTCCCGTCCACCCCTACTCCAGAATGACCATCAACCAGTTGCTGGCCGAGATGGACGGCTTCAAGCAGAATGAGGGGGTCATCGTCATGGGAGCTACCAACTTTGTGGAAGTTCTGGACCCGTATGTACCTGTTACAACTTTGACATTATGTTAGAAGAGCCATATCTCAAACGTGTTTGAAAAATTGCACTTATCAAGTGGGCTAGGCAACCTAAACTAATGTCACTTCCTGAGTACAAGAGCTATCTACCATCCAAAATTTGTGAGCTTGGCATGTTCATATCATGAGATGGACTGTAGTACCATAACAAGCTGCAGTACCATAACAAGCCGCCAGGGGGCCCAAATTCTAATCATTTCTAGGTCTCATCAAGACCTACCTACCTACTAAATTTCATGACAATCCATCCATACCTTGTGTTTATTTACTTACTAGCTAATGTATTTTGAAGCAAGTTTTAGACTTAGAGTCTGGATTATTTTTCCAGGGCACTGACACGTCCAGGCAGGTTTGACACCACCGTAACCGTGCCTCGGCCGGATGTCAAAGGTCGGCTGGAGATCCTTAAATTATACCTGGGCAAGGTGAAGGTGGACTCAGGTGAGGTCAATGTCCTATAGGTCAAGATTCATGGTCAGCATTGAGTAGAAACTTGTTTGAAATTTTATGTTTTGCACTTGTTCTAGGTTAGGATTTAAACTCCAAACCTCAAATAGCTAGTTACAGCAGCATATTGTCTTCAGAACATACTGTGCCTGCTAGAAACCCTTAATACATTGTGCATTGCACTTTGGCAGAATATCTCGTTTAAGGTGGTACATGTATTTGCGTATTTAAGGATGACATCCTGTCTATAGTTTTCAAATATTGTGTCAGAAAAGATATCATCTGCTACAGGCAAAATTCTGATGCAACATTGACCAAACATCTGACAAAAAACGTGAAAAATCTGGGTTTCGAGTTACTAACTAAGACCGTCTTTCCTGTGCTGTACAGATGTGGATGGGGACATCCTGGCACGAGGCACGGTGGGTTTTACCGGGGCGGACCTGGAGAACATGGTGAACCAGGCAGCTCTGCACGCTGCGTCGGTCGGGCATCAGTTTGTCACCATGGCTGACCTGGAGTTCGCCAAGGACAAGATCCTCATGGGTAAGACACAGCTGCAAACACGTGGGCTGTTTCTTAGTATTTACATGTACTCCTCAGGGCTCAAAATACCACATGTATGTAGTAATCTAACGGTAAAATAGGAGATGTGCAAGTATTCCTGGTACACATTGTATATTCAAGTGTAGGTGTATGTGAATTTTTATTTGCTGCATTGACTGTTACCATCAATGAAGTATAAAAGAAATAATGGCAATGGTTTCCAACCAGCTTTCAGTATGATCCATACTTACTAAATTCTGAGTGGTGCAGGTAAAATGTGTCTGGTGCAGATAATTTTCAATGTTTTGTTATTCAGCATTGTATGAAATAGCACTGTTGACACCCCCCAGGTCCTGAGAGACGGAGTGCACAGATCGATGATAAGAATAAGAAGATCACAGCGTACCACGAGGGAGGCCACGCGCTGGTGGCTTACTACACCAAAGATGCCACACCCATCAACAAGGCTACTATCATGCCCAGGGGGCCAACTTTGGGACATGTAAGATAGTTCTTATTGTTAACCTTTGCAGAAAGAAAACATTGTTTTTGCTCTGTTTCTTCTTCATCTTCCTTTACAAAGAAATAAGATCCAATTACTTGGACCAGATGGCTGTCACCATGGTAACTGGATGGTAACACCTATGGTGTTGGATTACATTATGTAGCAAGTTGCAGGACAGGCTGGTTGCCATATACAAGTATATGAATGTGAGTAAGGATAACCAGAGCAGTATTTTTTTTGGCTAGACCATGTGAACTCCTCCCCATACCTCAATACAGCCCTTGGGCCTCTCAAGCACTACAATAGGGGCTAGTCCACTGGTTATTTCAATGAAATGATATAAGACGTACATGGATCTATATTTGTTCAGGTTTCCCTCCTGCCTGAGAAGGACCAGTGGAACGAGACCAAAGCCCAGCTACTGGCCCAGATGGACATCTGTATGGGGGGCAGGGTGGCCGAGGAAATCATCTTTGGACCTGATAATATCACTACAGGTGTGTACATGTGTGTGTGTGTTTGTATACGAGTGTGTGTGTTTGTATATATGTTTGTGTGTGTGTGTTTGTGTATATATGTATTTGTATGTCAATGTGTATACGAAAGAGGAAACAGTTGTATCATTGGACAACCTAAAATTGTAATAGTTACATCTTATAAGTGGACATTTTTGTCAGATTGAAGTGACCAAAAGTTGAAAACAGCCATATGTGACGAAGTAGGCAAAGCTGAAAGCTCCTTGATCCATATCTCTGATGTATAGGTGAAGCAACATGAGTTAAGCCTTTTATCGAAATGTTCTTGTCTTATGCATAGGCATATACATGTATGTTTCATACCTCATTTAAACAACATTTACAGAGGTGTCAGAGTTCTGTCACGAATTGCTAGGGTGGCTTGACATATTGACATATCCCGTGTGTTTTTAGGTGCATCCAGTGACTTTGAGCAGGCAACCAAGATTGCAAGAATGATGGTGACAAGATTTGGCATGAGTGAGAAGGTACAGCTTTCTCTTGTGTTTTCACGCATAGTGAAAAGATGTGAAAATAAAGTTTCACTTTCCATATGTAGAAAGTTCACATGAAATCTAGTTTACTAATTCAAGCCTTAGCCACTGAAGAAGCCACATTGGCCAAGCCAGTATGAGTGACAGGCAGAATAAAGGTTCCAATGTCTTACTAAGGAATGATTTCATTGTACTCATTTACAGATTCAGATTGAAGAGCTTGTGGCAGTGTTGTATGTTGTAGACTGATGTGTTGTTGCTTGTTGCAGGTTGGAGTGATGGTGTCCAGCGAAAGTGGTCAGAGTCCGGAAATGAAGGCCATGATCGAGACTGAAGTCAGAAGCATGTTGAAGGTACGTGTATGTCTGCAGGTCATATAACGGGCTGTTGTGTTGGATGAAAGATACATGTTGGCTGCTGTTCTGGAGTAGGTAGAGTGTGTTTTGCAGTCAAATTTCATGCATATTTAACTGAAATTGAATGTGATTTGTATAGAAAGGTAGTACGGCCTAAATCTGGTGAGGCTGTTTCCAAACTTTGGTCAGCTGGTGGTCAGAGGAAGGTTCTGAATGTGTGACAGGACTGTCTAAACAAATTCAGATGCTATTGTTTCCTGTAGCTGACTTTGTAGTGTTCTCATGTTGACAGGAGTCGTACAAACGTGCAGAGAATCTGCTGAAAACCCACGCCCGGGAGCACAAGATGCTGGCCGAGGCACTGCTGAGATACGAGACGCTCACCGCAGATGAGATCCGAGAAGTCTTGGACGGGAAGCAGCTGGAAAACAGATGATCAACAAAGGCTGTCCCCACCCGTTTCTGGTTTGGACTGTTCCAATGGGGAGATCCTGTGGAAAGGATCACGACATTATGAAGATAACCTGTCCCACCTGTACCCAAGGTGGACTAGTCCAGTATCAGACTTATTTGGGCAAAATTAGCAGGAAGCAATCATCTAGGGGTGGTACCGATAGGATAGATTGCTCTTGTGATGGCAGGCAATTCCCCAACTGTCCTGTCCTTGTAAAGAAAAGTGCTCTTTTGCCATTAGTACACTTGAAGCTTTCCTCTTTTGTAAGTTTTTATTTCAGGGACTTTCTTCACTGCATGTAACCTCAATGTTAGTTGCTATCTTATTGACATTAAAAGTGGGATGATGATTATAAATTCCATGTTAGAGTCCATCTTTGTGGAATGTAGTTGTGGCCAAAACCTTTGTCTGGCTAGCATCCATATTGTAACCCTTAGATGAACTTCACTCTAGACTTTTCCCTTTTCCTTTGCTTGGCTTTTGCTCTTAAGTTAAAGCATGCATCTTTGTGATATTTTAGTAAACAAAAGTGCACAATAGTCATAAGTTGGGAACAGTCTTGGATGTAATATTCCAGTATTACTAGGAAACTACATGAGTCCCAGTATAATTTAGAAGTAACCTTGTAAATACACGTGTATCTGTGAAGACAAGAAAGCAGAATAATATCATAAGTATGAATACAACAAATTGCACATGATATATATGTATATATATCATAAATGGTCACATTCTACTTAAGTTAACATACTTCAGACAATAGTGATATGAAAATGTGTTGATATGCCAAAAAATCTCTTGTTGCAAACATGTAGATCAATGGAGTGATCTTATACATGTGTTGAGGATAGAGCCAGGTGGACAGTAATTCATGTATCTTTCCCAATGGAAAAGCTGGATTATGAAGGGTAAAAAAAGTGCTCCATTGTATTTCTGTGTCTTGATCACATTGCAATAAACATGGTATCTAATATAAGAAGTTGTTCAACGGCCTTTGTTTTGTACATTTGTACAGTTAAGTACAAGCTGCGTAAGACCGGACTGTAAGGTTTGAACCATTCACACCAAGAAGGACCCCTGCTCTTTTCGATAAGTGCGGTGGGGTCTTTAACATGCGTGGGGTGTGGCTCTCCCAAACACGGGACTTCCATTTAACGTCCTATCCAAGGGACGTCCCTAACCAAAGCTACAATGTAGGTACTCATTTACACCTGAGTGAAGTGAGGAAAGTCGTGCAAAGTGTGTTTCCCAAGGGCATCACCTCTTGGGTCTGAGCCAAACACTACCACATGACCCCATGTTCAAAGGCCTTTGTTGCTACATGTACAACAATAGAAATTGATACAACAGCTTGCATGCACTAGATCATTTATTATCAAAGCCATAAAATACAATGTTATCAAGCAGACCTTGCCTGCCACTATTCTGCATTGCTTTTACCTTGCTACTACATTATTCTGCAACTATATGACAATGGATGTTTGATAAACACTCCTGAACAGAAAAGGCATGAAATTACAAATTAAAATTGTTGTCACTCAAATCTTCAAATTTCAGTGAACATCTTTGCACATCTTCGCCCACAATCGTTGACTGTTTAAAAGACATTAGCTAGCATTTATTGTACATGTTGGAAGTATAAAAGTACAAAATTGCATACTGGACAAAATGTCATATTTCATCTTTAAAATTCCCAGTAAATGTAAGCATAATATTGGATTCATTGGATCCAAAATCATCAAATCAGTACTTGAAACTCTGTGCCCTTGTAACACCTCAGATTACAGTACTGACATAAAAATATGATTAATTCCTGATGATAATATTGCTATCTAGGCTCCCTCTTTTCTAAATAGCCATGAAAAATCATGTAAGAAATCTAGGATGGAGTCAGTTTCAAGGTTGGATCTGCTATGACCATAATCCCCAGTATGGAAGACACCACCCCACAAAACCCCACCCACCCATCAGAAACCTCGATCAGTTTCAACCTGGTCATTTGAACCACGATATCACAAACATTCTTCGACGTATCGATACACAACGGCAGGTTTTCCACCAGGATTCTTCTCAACGCTTCCTGTCTCACTTTGGCCTCCAGTCGCAGTTCGTTATGAACTGTTCCGTTAGGATAGTTCAGCTGTTGGTGTTTTATCTGTAGGGCCTTCTGTATGCCGTATAGATCACGTAGTAGACTGAGGAGAGTGCTGAGGAACCAGAATCTCAGAGAGAGCCAGTTCCACATGTCCACGTCGGTCTGTATCACCCCGGCGCGGCCCAGCCATACCAGATGGTCGAACAGGAGGAAGACGGAACGATTCGCGTGACTAGCGGTCAGTAAGACCCGCAGAAGCTCGTCCTGGAGTTTGGACGCCCGCCGTGCCGCCTCCAACGAGTCCAGACTCTTACCAAACCTCATCACTGCAGCCGAAAACAGTTTCATCAGCAGGTTGGTAGAACATAGGAAGTTGGCATATTCTAAATTACACAATCAGTAACGTCTCATACCTTCCTAACACCACCTACATCAGCTAGCCTGTGTTTACACAAGCTCTCAGCCAAGGGTTAATGGGCCCACCAGCCAGTAAAGCAATTTAGTCAGGCCAAGGTCAGGCTACTAGATCAGCTACATAAAGCAGTGAGAAGAAGTACTCAAGTCAGAAGCTCTGAGGAAGGTGTCAGAGCATCGAAACATAAGCAATGTCAGAGTCATTACTGGTTGTGTAAAAGAAAATTCTCATACGATGGACATAAGAAAGTTGGACAAGATTGCCCCTTTTTGGGCTCAAAACAGCAGGGGTCTTTCCTGTCGTGTGAAACAAACAAATACAAGCACACATTGAAGTGACCGTGAAGGGAAGGGTGGCATAACCGAAACTGGTATTGGTGCAAGGATTCTTACATTTCCTTGTCATGCTGACTTGAGACTCCAGTTTTTTCATCTTGGTCACAACGTCAGTGTTGGTCCTGCCAAAAACTGCACGTAGGAAGATACTGCCATACTGCACAGTCCTGAAAGTAGAAAAAGGGTTGCTTGAATATTTTGTACATGTACTACTATTTAAGTCAGTCAAGGGATGCCCTAGGCTTTTAAAATGTATAACGTTGTATTCATTTATCTTGTTGTTCTTATTGGATGATGCTACTTTTAAATATTACTAAGTGTAATATTCATATCATAAATATAATCATCAGCTTTTTGTTGGTACTTTTCTGCAAAATGAAGTCCTGAATACATCATGAACCTGATACAGTACAACTATACAATGCTTTATTTGCTTTTGACCAATTGAATGTTATATATTACGATGTAGGCCTATAGGCATTGTGTAGCTGATAACAAATCAAGAATAAACAAATAAGTTCTTCAATAAACCACTCAGCACAGGTTTTTTTTTCCATTTTTTGCTAGCCATGAATATAAGGTCATATTTGCTTATGATAATGTTGCAAACAAGTAACCAGACACCACTGACCCAGTCATTGGCCAATCAAATGGCTCCCTTTTGTGACATTCCGGTCACTGACCCCTTAACAGGTCAGAGACTAGACAAGTGTAATCCAATCTGCCTAAAACAATACCTAATTCTAAAATGCCTTCATTTATCAAAATTTCATCGAAAACCTCTCTAGATATTATAGGGTTAAGAGATGCGATTTCGAAAAACACAGTAAACATGCCATTTAGTAATACATGAAAAGGCAGCGAAATATTCAAGTCATGTATAAAGAGGTCACCCCATCAAGATCAATGTGTACAGCCTAGAATCAAAATTATGAGGTATTTGGTCGTAGGAGGGCACTAGTGACTGGTCCATTTAGAATAGCCCAGAAAATTCTAGGTTGCTCGTATATCCAAAAGACAAAGGGCTAAATAGGTTTGATACACAAAAAAAGTCTAACCTTAAATGACCGCCCCTCCCCCTTTAATACGTACCTGAAGAGCTTGTCTCGCCCTTTGGTCTGTGCCGTGAAGTTGATAAACGCTTCCATAATGTCGCTGTGTCGGTCTTACCGCGTAAGTCGGTCGTTATAAAGTCGCACGACTGTGCCCCGGTACTTGAGACGACCGTGACACCAGCACGGCACGTTTGTGGCCGCGTGGGCCGGCAAGAACACGATTTAAAACCCGCGTGTCCAAAATCTGAAGTAGGGCGAGGGGTCAAAGGTCAATGACACGGAGGACGTTAAACCCGCTTTAAGGTACATGTTCTTACGGCTAAGAAATGTGAAAGTTGTTTGACAGCCTTACGTCATCACTCATGCAAACAACGCCAGGAATATATGGACATAAACCATAGTATGATAGAGGAATAAGCTTCGTCATGCAATCGTATATGTATGTATGCAATCGATATATTCAATTCATTAATGCAAGCTATCATCGTGTCTAAATACGTTTCAAATCTATAATTTCTTGTTATGATTTGCACTTGTAACTTACTTTATCTCTATTGTATTAAATTTGTATTCAATTGATCTGTGGTATAGTTTCTTGCTCCTTTGTTCTGTTATTGTATGTCTTTTGATGACTAGAGAAATGTTATGTAAAACATTGACCTCGCGTCTATTGAAGTGCATCTATCTGTTCAAATATGATACGAGGGATGAACCCTAAATAATTACATAGAGTTAAAAATAACCATATGTTGTTTCTTACAGCAAGGGCATCATCCATAAATTGTTTGATTAGCTCTCATAGAACTTCTGAAGAACACAAAGTACGCGATTGGTATACATCCTTTAAATAGCCTCTATCAGGCTTTGGGAAGTGGCTAGAAAGAGTATAAATTGGCCCAATAGTTTGCCACTCCCAAATTTCTACTCTTCTTTCCAGCCACTTCCCTAAGCCTGATAGAGGCTAATACAACCTGGCAGGTTAACGTTTGGCACCCACGTGATCACAACAGGTGTCAACAGCACAGGTGAACTCTGACCTCACGGTATGCGTCACACTCACACGGCAGGCATTGGGGCGTGTCCGGTCGACCTTAAGAGCGTACAACGTCCCAAACAGACGCCACTGCCACGGCCACCACACCTCGCAGCACCGTCTTAAGGTAGACAACACCCTGGACACCTGTGTACACGGGTCTAACAAGTACACAGAAACATATAGATCACGTTTTACGAAGTCGTACGTACAGTTTTACTTAAGTTTTGTTGTTCTCGTTCGTCTCTTGTTTACCTGTATAACTGTGGTTGGCTTGCCAAGATGGCTGCCAACTTGACCTCAGTAAACTTGGCTTATACCTGTTTGCCACCTGACAAGACAGGGCGAATTCGAACATATATAAGCTCAGTTACCAGTGGCAAATGCAAATATGTAATCCAGAATCGCGCATGTTTTTAGGTCTATATCTGAATGGGTGAGGGTCAGGTTCAGATACGTTTATTAGGATATTCTCTGCGTATCCAAGAACGTAGATTTGCCCTTGGCAAGGTTCTGGATACGCGGGGACTATCCCGAGAATTGTTCTGGACAAAGCATGGTTCTGGATACAACATGAAATGTTGGAATAAAAATCTAACAAAAATCTTTCCGTGGCAGTTTTCAGATTTGAGGGTTGTTCAACACAAACCACCATGCCTGACACCGCGCTGCGGTGCTTTGACATCACCTTTGAGAACAACATGGACGTGTTCCAGGCCGGCCAGATCGTCAAGGGACAGGTCCAGATAGAGCTAAGTGAGGACATGAAGATGAGAAGTACGTATTAAGTAGTCTAACGGTATATAGTAGTACGCATTAATATGTGTAGTGTGATATCTCTGTTACTTTTGTATGGTGAAATGTCTCTGTCACCTGTACTTAGCTAAGTAATAAAGGTCTGTCATTCATTCAATCGACATTCATCCACTCATTAAAGCAAATAAAGGCATAGATTTTGGGGCACTAAGTTAGATAACAAGTATAATTACTAATTTACTATCATATATGTACAAGATCTCTTCTCTGTTTTGAAAATATTTGCAAAATTAGCATTTTTTTTTCAATTATATCATAGTTCTTAGATTGCATAATATGCATGAACAATATTTCTTTTGTTAAGTGCGCATATTTCTGTTCTGATTCTGTTCTAAAAATGACATGGACGCCAATGAAACTGAGATAGTAAATTATGACAGAAGCAAATCTTTTGACAGAAATTGGGGAGGGGGTATGGCCCTTCCCATAACTGATATCTTGTGTCCTGTGACAGTGGTAGAAGCCGGTATCCAAGTCGTGATGAAGGGCGAGGCGTCGTGCAAATGGCTGGACAGCGTGTCCAAGAACGAAACCGTCACCTTCGTGTCCAGGGAAATCTACTTCCAGAACGCGCAGATCCTCTGGGCTCCGAGTGAGTGTCTCTTTAGTTGGTGTTCTGTGGCGTCGTGTGGTGTAGTGGTACATCACTGGACTACGAAGCGGGGAGACCCGGGTTCGATTCCGAACATGCGCCCCGACGTTGTACCCTTGGGAAAGGTACTTTACACGACTTTCCTCACTTTACTCAGGTGAAAATGAGTACCTAGCTTTGGCTAGGGACGTCCCTCGGATAGGACGTAAAATGGAGGTCCCGTGTTTGGGAGAGTCACACCCCACGCACGTTAAAGAACCCACCGCACTTATCGAAAAGAGTAGGGGACCTTCCCGGTGTGAGTGGTTCAAACCTTACAGTCCGGTCTCGGGGTTGACATCTTTGAAAAGGTGGTAGTCACCTGTTATGTCAATCCTTCCACAAACGTGGTAAATCTTCATAAATAAGTATTTGTGGGCATTTCTGCCGTATTCACTGATTCATTTTGACTGTAGGTACTGGATGTGATTTTCACACAAGTAAAGGGGCAAAATTCGTAGATTTGTCGAGAAATCCGTGCTTATAGCATTGTTTAATGTACGTATTAGGCGTATGCACAGTGGTGGGTGCTGTCCCTGGTACTGAACCACCGCTAACGTCTCAACGTGTGCATCCACTTTTGGGGCATACTTCTGCGTTCTGGCGTGGTCACCATAATATTCGATCGTCAAACTGGGCTTATTTTATGATTGAATGTCACTGTTTTTGTTCGAAATTACTTGTCTACAAGAGCCGACGTTTCGATGACCGTCTGTCATCTTTATCGAGGCTATAATGACTGTGCACTGAACGTTGGCTTTTGTAAACAAATAGATGCGGATAAAGAACTTTTCTACATTAACACTTTTGTGGCTGACGTTCGGATGTTTTTAGGCCAGGAAAAGACCAACTACAACCCCGTGCTACCGGCGGGGAAACACACGTTCCCGTTCCAGTACCAACTCCCTGGCTCCGGGCTGCCGACATCGTTTGAAACTACCTTCGGGCGCGTGCGCTACTCTGCCGAGGCCATCATAGACCAGCCTCGCGGGACGCCCGACAAGAAATTCAAGAGAATTTTCACCGTGCTGGACACGTATGATCTTAACCAGGACCCGAACGCAACGGTAAGGGATAGACTAGCCTTTACCAAGCCTTCCTAAGGGGTTAGGGATAGTAAGATTCGGGTTGTGTGCCAAAGAAAAACAACAGTTACGGCAAGCAACTGGATGCTAGTATTTGATCTTGAAATCTCTTCAGTGTCACAGATTTTGTAGCTCTACCTCGAGCCCTTTCTTTGATTCTTTCTCCTTCACCATTTCAAAACCCTTTAATAAGTTTAAAGAAACACTCCATCCACAGACACCATCGATCGCCAAGGGCTCAAAGACGCTCGGCATGTTGATGTTTACGTCCGACCCGATTGAGGTGAACGTCCAAACGGACCGGGGTGCGTACTGTCCGGGAGAAGTCATCAGACTCGGCGGGACTATAAACAACGGCAGCGGGACAGACATCCGACACACAACCGTGCAGCTCATACAGGTTAGACAGCATTAATCTCGTGTCTCCAAGCAGGTTCTGTGGGGCAACGGGAGTCTATATTCGCCGCCTGTAAGCATTGACCGCCCCACAGTGGATACAGGCGGCCAATATAGACTCCCGTTGTACCACAGAAAATGCTTGGAGATTAAGACAGGATCTTGTTTTGAGCTTGATAAACATCCCCTCACTTGTTCTCTTCAAGTTATATATGTTTGCCTCCTTGAAAGATGGAGGTATTGTTTTTGGTATGCCGGTGCGTGTGTCTGTGAGGCCGCATGGTCCTTATGCACCTTATGCCAGGTTGTAATGGTAAAGGCTGGGTTTAGTCTGTCCTAGAGGGAGAAAGTATGAGATCTCCGAATTGTTGTTTTCTGTACGCTTTCTACAGTACAGGGCATTCTCATATCCACAGTTCCAATGCATCCACAGTTGCAATGTATCCTCGAAACCTAAAGCACTTTCCGGCCGAATACACCAGATCTAAAAATCTCTGATTTCGTGTTTACGTGGTTAAATATTCAGTTCATTCTGTACAATTCCTCGTAGGTAATTGATGTTTCAATAACCCTGCTTCATTAATTACAGACGGCTACGTGTATTGCCACCGGCCAGCGCTGGGGGGCGGGCAACGAGACTAGGACAAAGACCGAGAGCAAAACGCTAAACGAAGTGAAGACCATGGCAGGCTGCAAAGCCAAGGGTACGGCCGACCTGAGTGCTGCTGGGATAGCTCTTCCCATTCCGGCCGTCCCTCCCTCCGTGAGACGATACTGCGGCATCGTAGGTGTTGAGTACACGGTTAAGGTAAGAGAAAGATTAACTAGAAAGGTAACATTTGCTAAGCAAATGCATAATGTTTACCTTCGCATATGGTTTGCTCTGTTAATTCTTACTCAAACACATTCATACATTTTATATACTAGTACTAGTATATGGTCAGACAGTCTAAATCCATCCTGCTATAAAATTGCAACATGATGTAACCCAACACTAGTTACCATGGTGACAGACGTCTGGTTCAGGATTTCCTTTTTTTTATGTTGTCCAATATATTTCTTTCTTTGCAGTTTATCGTGAACATCCCAGGGTTGCACAAGAACCTGGAAGTGTACCTGCCCATCACTATCGGTGTTATCCCGCTCAGGAGTTACTATCCAACCGCCCCTTCATTTCCCTCAGCGCCGGTAGAAGAGCCGCCGCAGTACGCAGAAGGACCACGTAAGTAGCTATAGACTCTGACAAGTAACGTCAGGTAGGTTGAGTGATATTTAAAGTACATTCTAACAGTTCATTTGTACAAAGAAAGCATCAAAGTGTGCTAATTAAGGGTCAATGACCCGCCTCGATGTGTTTATGGTGTGATAAGGCCTTTCCGTTGCTACAACCCAGGAGGTTAAAAATCTAGATTTAAAACCTCTTGGCTATAATCACCTAATAAAAATACCGAAAGACGGAGTCCACCCCTCTGCATAATATTAATGGTACGGCCAAGGGGTCAATTATCTAAAAACAAGGACCACTCATGATGACTATTCAGTTTTCACATTTTCCATGACGTTACGGCATTATAACCAAAATGGTGAACATCAGATTGGTCGACGTCATTTGGCTACATAACATTTGTTTCTTTTATCTCGTTCGTTTCTAGCTCCTCCTTACTATGCGGTCGCGACACCTTCGAAGATCGAGAAAGACCAGGAAGACAAGGGCACGGACTGCATGGGCCCCAAGGAGTTCGCCCCCAAGTACGCCTACTACGACTGGCATGGGAAGCAACCTTAACTGCTGTTCTAACCTAAACTTTGAAATCACATTGTGCCTTCCTTTTACAACGTTTAAAAGCGACTACCATTTGCATCATACCCGAATTTTTTTCAGGTACCTAGCATTGTGAAAGAGCGCAAGTTAAGAGTATAGTATGCTGTACGCGACTCTTGCTACAATTTTTACAGATTCATTTAAACGTGGTCTTAATATGTACAAATGTATATCAATTGTTGATACATGAGTATTTTATGTATTTATGCATCAATATATAATTAGTTTGATGTATAAATGTACAAGTATCGAATTGACAATATTCTTACTATAAATTCCTATATTCTAATGAGGATATGCATTCATCAATAAAAGTGTGCCGATTGGAAATATGTGGGTTAAGCAAAAGGTGCCAAACCAGTGTAGCATACAACACAACAATGCATTTTGCAAACGTAGTTAGTGTAATAAGATAGTTCTGTAATTTCCTCCTCATTAAAGTGTTAATTGTCATTTTACAATGTCTTTTTGTATCTTTTTGTGTCTAATATCAGTGCCACGTTGTTGCGAAAACCGTGTGCACGCGCCTTTAAACTGACCTGGGATAAAAGGGTCTAAGGGCAACGTCCTGTAGGCCGTTAATGTGGATTACGAAACACCTAACACATGACCCTTAAGTCATTAGCTTTAACTGTACTCATGTCATCCGACAACAAAGAAGGGAGACACCACGACCTTTCATTGCCGTCATTGCGTAACTAGCTATCCAAGCAGATGTTGGGTTGAAAGGCCGAGTCGTTTTCTGACGTTCTGGCTTCTCTGATAGTTGGGGTGTGTGACTCTCAGAGAACGTTTCGATCTTTTTCAAAGTTTCTTTCTTCTGTGCTGAAAACAGAGACAAAAATTATCAACGTTTGAGAAGAAAAGACAGGTCATTTTTCGTGATGAAAACATCGATTAATTGAATACAAATTACAACTAGAGTTCCACGATCTCATACCTTCGCCAAATGATGTTAGCCTTTATGAATAAGAAATATACTAATCACCCTGATTATGCAAAGAGGATCCTCAATTGCATGAATTATATCAGTCTGTTGATCATATTCTCCACCAAAAGACAGTCTTATCTTAACAAAGAATGCCATTTTCTCATAAATTATGCAAATGTGGTCCTTATTTGAATAAGTTATGTTTAATTATGTTCACCTTCACTTAACTTTCAAACACCCCGAGTATGAAATTCCAGGCAGTTACCACTATGCAATTATAACATTTTCTCATTAATTATGCAAATTAAGTCTTCATTTGCATAATCGATAATTGCCTGTGTTTCTCTCGTTCTTAATAACATATATTACAAGCTTGAACTTCCTATCATGGAATGCAGCTGATTTATAGAATTTCCTCATTAATTATGCAAATTACATCAATATTTGTATAATTGTAATATCATTATGTCAAGCATCACTTAAGCTACCTACATACCAAAAATCACGATGATCCATCAATCGGTTCTTGAGTTATCCTCTTTTAAACATTTGTCCTTTAAATCCCCCTGCAGTTCTAGAGCAAGCAACTAGGGGACTCATACTCATGTCACTTCATCCCCAGCACAAGAGCTATCTACCATCTAAATTTCGTCACCCTAGCCTGTCTGGATCATGAGATATCAAAACCAGAAGTTCTGCTGCAGTACCATGACAAGCCGCCAGGTGGCCCAAAATCCAATCATTTTGAGGTCTCATCAAGACCTACCCACCTACCAAATATCAAGTCAGTCCATTAAAGCCTTCTCAAGTTATCGTGTTGACAGACACACACACACACACACACACACATACACGAACGCCTCTGAAAACATAACCTTCTTGGCGAAGGTAATTATCATAACGTTTCAACCTCTTGGAAAATCCCCAAAGGCTCGAGTGCGGCACGCGATACAACAGGTGCCTCTGAATCACTGGTGACCTTTGAACTTCCGTGAGTCAGAGATTCCACAGTACATGTAGCAGTGGGGCGTGTCGAGTGCTTAAAAAGGGGCGGCCTCACAAGTTAACGAGTCAGTTACGGACAGGAGATCAGGTGAGTGACAACATAACATAAGGATTGTAAGGGTTAACCTTGTAGCATGTTAACCGATTGCATTTGTTTACATTTAAGGTTTGTATGTAGACCCAGTGCGGTTTCTTACGTAACCTTAACGTGCCGTGACGCTAACGGTAAACCCTGTAGCAAGTCTGCCTCGATTGTTGGCCTACACAACTTGATGATGTTTGCCTGCAAAATTACACCGACGTCTATCGTGCTTATAATGTATGTCGTGTAAATATGGGAAATATGCTGAGCAAAAACAGATGTACTTGACAGATAGTGAATCTAAGAATGAAGAGAATGGCAAACTACGCAGGAATTGTACACCTTAAATCCCTTAAATCCTTAATACTTATGGTAGACCCCAGTGTGGTAGACCCCTGTCTCGCATTTGCGTATTTAGTACGGTACCTCTAGACTAGATCATGGGGCCTTTACTCGACAGAGTCGTCATAGTTGGGTTGCTTTAAGGCAGCCAGCAAAATACGCCCGATTCAAGAGTCGCCACGGCTACAGGAGCTTGGATACGGTAAACACACAGACGGCCAACAGGGCACTTCCGGACGCTTTTAACAAAACAGACCGACAGGCCGCTAAAAAGAACGAATGTCAAAACTGCTAGCTGCATTATTTTCCAACAGGAAGAACGTACACTCGGGTCTGGGAAGTGTATGCGAAATATAGAGCTTGTGTATAGCTAGATTTGTTTTGCCTTTTCACTAAGATCTTTTTGTGTACCTTTAAGTGAATTATTAGCCATTGCCAACATGTCTGACATTAGTTGGGTAACTCGCTCCTCGGTGAAGAAGGAATCAGATTGCAAGCGTGACCATGACGTAAAATAGAGTGCATCGTGTAACATTCCTAATAGCTGTGTGAAATTTTCCCACAATGTAGATTCTAGATTTAAACGTTCGACCACCAGAAGCCACCATGCCGGCTCTCAACTCCTTCTACATCACGTTCGAGAAGAACATGGACGTGTATCAAGCTGGGCAAATAGTCCGGGGGACTGTAGAACTGGAACTCAACGAAGACATGAAGATGAGAGGTAAGTGCTGAAAGTACAGTTCGACTTTCGATTGACTCAACGACGTACTTACGCCCTTGTTATGAATGGTACCATTGGTAATGACTTTATTAGATTTTCCTTGTATTAACTTAGAAATCGAGTCAAAAGGCGTTCTGAGGATCTCATAGCCATCCTCAACGTCGTTGAAATCATCCCGTCTTTCATAGGACTCCCAGGAAAGACTTGGTGATTTCAGCGACAAGAAAGGTGATATGGGGTGACTTGCACTGATATCTTACCTCACAAAGAAATGCCCCTTCAGGCTTTGCAATTACCGAAATCATGGCAACATCTACATATGTTTTCAATGCTATGCAATCTTAAGGGACCATAAAGCGTAAAGAAAAACGATTCACTCTGTCTGGTTGGTACCTGTAGGTATAAAACTCCTGATGAAAGGCTCCGCCCGATGCCGCTGGGTCGTGTCCACCGGGAAGACAACGATTGTGTACACCGGCAGGGAAGTCTACTTCGAGAACACCGTCACCCTGTGGGGGCCAGGTAACACTCCCTCTCTCAGGCCTGCATCAAAAGGAACCTTTTCTGCTTAATTTTGTTTCTCTCCGTATACTCAGTCAGCCTGGGTGCCATCCTCCGTAGCCAGCGACATTAGGGAGCCTGTGGAAACTACGGAGGATGGCACCCAGGCTAATAGTCAGTCACTCACTACATGGCTGAGAGGTCCCCTTTGTAATGTGACGATCTACTTAGGCCCTGTTAGCTTCCACTATGCCTTCCTACGGCGGTACGGATAGTAGAATTCGACAAGAAAGGGAAGAAGAATTATTTGGCTGAATTTTATTGCTTACGTTGTCAGTCTAGTGAAGACTAGTAGCGTCTACTCGAAATGAACCGTCTTCTCGCCCTCTCTCCAGGTCAGGCAGAGTCCGGAGAGACCCCGGTACTGTCGATGGGCAAACATACCTACCCCTTCGAGTACCAACTCCCCAGCACAGGGCTGCCCACCTCGTTTGAGAGCTGTTACGGGTACGTGCGTTACTACGCCGAGGCCATCATAGACAGACCGTGGAAGTTCGACAAGAAGACCAAGAGAGCCTTCACTGTGCTGGACATGTATGATCTCAACGAGGACCCGAACGCTATGGTAAGGTTTAATGGCGCACATACATTAGAAAAGGGTAGATACAAGCAATTGTCTGTTAACGACAGAATATGTAATAATGTACAGAAATGCAGTGGAGGATGAAATGCACTTTATTTGTCCTCATTATAGCACCGAAAGAGATAAGATATTTGAAATGGTCACCAACACGTTCCCCAGCTTTATTCACCTTCCCAGCCGGCCTAATACAAAAATGCATTTCTATTAACACCTCCCAATTCATACATCTCGCAACATGTCGACCATTTCATACTCCACTGCAGACAGAAATCAAACCCAACAATAACTAAGTAGCTTTAGCATTACTTATAATTATCATTTTTACTGTTTATTTGTTATCATATTCTTGCAATAAGCCATCGGGCTTGAATTTGCAATAAACTTTCTTTCTTTCTTTCTATATTCAATATGACAGACACCATCGACTGTCCAAGACTCCAAAACGCTTGGATTCTGGCCTTTTGCCTCCGCGCCTATCGAAGTGCAGGTGCAGACGGACCGGGGTGCGTACTGCCCCGGAGAGACCGTCAGACTGAGCGGGACGATCAAGAACGGCAGCGGCACCGAGATCAAGGAGACAACCGTTCAACTCAGACAGGTGCGTATGCACGTTTGTACACTTCTCAGGCTGAGAACAACGGTACTGCAACATCATTGACGTCGAGTACAAGGTCAAGGTAAGCAAGGATAGATGCGGGCCTATGTCCTAGAGGAATATTTGCACCAAACATTACGAACCTGCCTGTACGAACTCAGACAGGTTCGTACGCACGTTTGTACACTTCTCGGGCTGGAAAATATCACACTGTTCTCAGGCTGAGAACAGCGTGATATTTCCGAAAATAATTTCGCATGTTTGGTAAAGCATCTTTTCACACAGCCGGCATACGTATCGACTCTCACCTGCTTACGTTTCGGCTACATATAGCGGCGAGAAGCAGAGCTACAGTCAGAAGCTCTGAGGAAGGTGTCCGATACCAAGATATATTTATTTTAGAGATTAAATTGATGTATTTTTATTACGCACATTGCCATTCTTACATTACAATTCAATGTGTTTCCGAAGACTTTTGGCCCATTCCTTTTTAGCTACTTATTTAAAACGTTTAAGCAAATTTGGTATGTACTTTGTGTTACAGAAGGCGACATGCGTTGCCACCTCTCCGCACAGAGACAGGAGGCGGCAGAGGAAGACGCTGTGTGAGATGAAAGCCCTGGGCTGCAGGGCGAACGACGCGGCTGACCTGAGCGGCATAGCTCTTCCCATCCCCGCCATCCCTCCCTCCTCTCAACGGTACTGCAACATCATTGATGTTGAGTACAAGGTCAAGGTAAGAAAGGACAGATGCGGGGCTATGCCGTAGACGAAAATCCGCACCAAACGTTAGACAGTTTAAGTAAGGAGAAATAGCAGATTTCAAACCTCCAAGAAGTATTTTGAGGCTTTGTGATTTTATTGTTTCTGACTTACTTTCAGTGGGCTTAGTACAGAACCCTTGCAGTTGAGAGCTATGATGTGTGTACATATGTGGGTATATATCCGAAGTAAAATCCTAGCTAAATGCATGTCATAGACATTGATATGTACATGTGGGGGCAAGGAGGTTAAAAATCATGTATTTAATGTCCTTGGTAGGGGTTATGGAAAAGGCTGACATGCTCGACAGCCCAGCTAGCCAGGCCAGGCCAGGTACCCAGCCTTTTCCGTAATCCCGAAGAAATGTAATCACGTAGTAGGATGATCCCAAACGTTTTTATTCTTTGTTCGCAGTTTATCGTGAACATCCCGGGGCTACACAAGAACCTTGAGCTGGAGATGCCCATCACCATCGGATCCATCCCACTGAGGAGTTATTACCCACAAGCCCCTTCTTTCCCCTTACATCCGGTCGAACAGCCGCCGCCTTCCCATGAGTCCCTGTACCCTGACCTCGGTTTCGCTCAGTGGACCTACCAGACAGCCACTGACCCAAGCGCACCACGTATGTACTAAACTGGTTATCTCATAGTCTCCACCTGACTCCTTTGCAGGCTGAATAAATACTAGAAAAGCTATACAGGCTAGCTAACTCCTCTGGCCAAATATATACCAGTACCCATTTTTAGACCGAATTCAACTTTTTATTCAGCCTCCAAGTAGAGGTTTAGGCTTGAACACCTAAAAATACTTGTTTGGGCTGGCATTAAAAAATTCCATTACAAAAAAGAAAGCCTGATATTATAAATACCCAACACACCTAAAAATAAGCCAAAGCCTAAACCTCTGCTTGGAGAGTACTCAGCTCGCGCTTGGAATTTTATGATATTTGATAGTATCTATTTAGGATGATTCATACATAAAGCTTCAATATGTGTTTTAACGAGTTGATCTGTTACAGCTCCACCATACTTTGCGGTGTCTACGGAAGGACCTGTGGCACTGGCAGAAGAAAAGGAGGACAAGTATACCATGGGACCCACAGAGTATGCACCGAAGTACGCCTACTATGACTGGAGCAAGCACGCTTAGGACTCACGTCATGACTGAAGCAATCTTATACATGTATTAAGTGCCTTGTACATTTTAGTGTTATCTTTATGCCAGTAATATTGCATATTTCCAGTACTTCTCACAAACAGTAGAATACTAGTAGTTAGGCCAAAGAATTTTGTCACTTCTGTGATTTTGTCAAAAATATGTTTTGTCAAGAATAACTTTTGTTCTTGTTTGTTTTTTTGTTTGTTTTAATAGTTTTTTCATCCCAAAAAGTTACCGTTTTTTAGTAGTAGTTACACTTACAGGCATATACATTGTAGTTTGCCTTTGGTCCGTCCACAAATATCGAGAAATACACGAGAAGCATATACATTTGTGTACTGTACATTATACAGTATAAGACTCTCAGGATTTTTAGTGATTGATATCTGGCACACAAACATTGTAATGACTATAGTGCCAGACAAGTATTGAGGTGCAATGATGTAATTCATTGAGTATTAATTCATCAATAAAAAGGTCTGTAAATATCTGTTTGTGCGTGTTTGTCTGTACTCAATACAGATTCAGATCCACCTGACTAGCTCAGGTTCAAATGTCTATGAAGGCAAATAAAACTTATGTCATAGTCATCATGCTTTACCATGTTGGCTCATTCATTTAAAAACAGACACTTAACAGTATCTGCTGACTTAAAAACAGAAGTTTTACCATATCTGCCCACTTATTTAAAAACAGATGCTTAACTAGTACTATATCTGTTCAACAGAGCCAGTTAGTGTTGAGAAGTCGTAATAAAACTGCACAGCATCCGTGTAGCCCAGCCCCTTTATATACCCAGCATTAGGCACCACACCTATCTCCTTAAACCCAAGACCACGCCAGGTCCTCAGAGAAGCCTCATTATTAACGTAAACCAAGTTAAAGAAAGATGCCTTGTACCCTAGATCCCTCGCAATGTACAGGAAATATTGCGCCATCCTTTTCCCCAAACCCTGTCCCCTTTCTGACTCCTTGACTATGAAGCCAGCATTACATATATGAGAAGACCTGCCAGGGAAGTTGGGCTTGACGTAGAACGCTCCAAGAACTTCTTCTGTCTCGGTCGCGTCCCTAGCAACGAAGACGTCGTGAGAGAGGTAGTAGTCCCGGAAGTCTTGAAGAGACTCCACTTTTTCTTGAGGATAGCTTTGGCCGTCTTCAACGATCTTCTTGAAGATGGAGAATACTTGTTGTTCGTCCTGTTCTCTGTAGTGGTCCAGAGAGACCTGTCTGCCACTCGGGAGAGACATCAGTATGGGGAGGTAAGGTAGGCGCTGGGAGGAACCCTTGGGTTTTATGACGTAGCAACTCATACTGGTTAGACAGACAGGTAAATCAATGATCTGAAAGAGAGAGAATTGTCTGAATGTTAATATTACAGTTGAAAACAGTAATGCCAACTTGGGGTTAGTTTCACTTTGCATGCTGCAACGCAAGGAGATCATCCAATGAGGATGAAGGGTCGTAGCTACTACACGTCGCAACGACCGGACTGTTTTTTTTTCACCCCCGAATCGGACCGGACATTGTTTTCCACCAACCCAAAGTTGAAGTGTATACTAGATATCAGTATTCAACAGACTCCATGTCTTGGGGCTGCACTGTTCTTTTTAAGTTGCAGATAATACGAATTGGCCTTTATAGAAACTCCATGGCCTTTAATATGCGTCAGAGCTACTAGTAGGCTGGTAATCATTAACGGAGGGGCGGGATGGAACCTTCTCTGGCGGCTGGTTGTAGGAGGATGGCGGCTATTAAAATAACTCGTTAAAAACTCTTCAAAACGCTGTATCAAAATTCCCACCCGCCCCGGGGCCTGCACAGGAGACTATCCACCTCCCTCTTCCCCGCCTTCTAGTGCCTTGTTGAGGCCTTATGGGCAGAAGATGGGCTGCTAAAAAAAGTATCATTCCATGGAGGTAGAAAAAAGGAATTTTACCTCCATGATCATTCCAACACCTGGAAATTTTGCTGGCTCACCCAACCAACACAATATTAAACGCCATTATGAAAAATAGTCGTGAAAATACTTGCCTGGTGGACCAAAAACACTTCTTCTTATTCCAAAAGCGGCTGTTCGTCCGTTATAATACTGAGCCGCCCAGAAAATCGGGAAAATCAAGACCCCGCAGGCTACACGTGTACAGTGCACTGGTCAGTTCAACCGCCGGATGTGCTTCCGGGTCACACCACGACGTGCCCCCATGGCCAGGTCACGGGAAAAGTAGGTCAATCTAGCCCACAATCAGACTGTTCAGGTATTTAAACATGTCTTTTTTCTTCAAGCGTTGGGCTAGTCTCCAACAGACTCCTTTGCAGGCTGAAGAAATTGTAGAAACGTAACACGGCAGGCAGATTGACCCTCTCTGGCCGGCCAACTCCTCTTGAACCAATGAGATCCCCCTTTACCCCTTTTTAGGCCAATTTCGAGCCAATTTCTACTATTTATTCAGCCTGAAAAGGAGTCTGGTGGAGACTAGCGTAACAGTTAGAGCTATGCTTCCGTGGACGCGAAAAAAAAAGAGCCACTCGCCCTGAACATAACCACTGGGCCGCAAGATAGCGCTTCACGTAAGACCACACCGTGACACAGCTGACGTATATTTTTGGCCGGATACACTGGCACTAGTTCCGGTACATGTCACTCTTTCAGTGGCCTAGGTCAACCTTATTGACGCGCGAATGCTTGACAGGAAAGACTAACAGTTTCTGACTGCTCCATTCTTTTTTTCTGACCGTGACACATGAGCTTGAGGTTTCCGTCGAAGCAAGCCAACTCCCTACAACTTGAACATGACAGTGCTCCTTGCAACATTGCTTTGAGATGCAGTGTCTAACCAAGTCGTGTAGCCAAGTTCACTGGCAAATCGCAAGAAGTGGTAATGTAGCTACGTGTACTAGAATACATGTACCTGCCCATTGCCAAGCCGATTTCTCTGCCCTTTTCAGACATGCAAAGTTCACTGCGTGTGATGATCATAACTTGACTCTCAGACCCGGCCCGAAGTGCCCCCAAACAAATGACAAATCTTGCCTGCCTGAGGGCAAAATACAGTGCACATGACTGGAAAAGTAGAATACAACAGATGCCCACTTTGTATATTTTGTGTTTCCTAATACACGGTGCGGAAGAGTTGACATCACAAAGACTGTGACAAGGTTTGTGCATGCAAACGAATCTAAAGTGAGAATCCCTGGGTTGGTAGAAATGCCCGAACGGCTTAGTAGGGCGGATAAGGTCATTCCTAAACAAGTCACTGTCAACCCAACAGACTATCAAACACAGAATGATAGACACATTGTTCCTCAGGGTAGGTTATACTTATAGGGGTGTTGTCATTCATACAAATGAGAATTAGAAAAAGAGGGATCGAAGCAGAAAAGAAAGAACGAAGACTATTTCTGAACATTCCTCATTGAACATGTAATATCTATCTACATTTACGGAGAGAGAGATTGAGAGAGAGAAAAAGAGAGAGATGATCAACTCGACAAGATCGTTCTTGACCCATCAAGCGTTATTGAATTGTTTGTCGCACTAAAAGCTGTCTGGGCTATCAAGTTGGGCGGGCCGCTAAAAGCGCGATTTGATTTACAGGCTTGTAAGTACCTTCCTCAACCAGTCACGAGCCTTTATTTATGACCATTAATGAGAGAGAGAGAGAGAGACATAGACAGACAGAGAGACAGAAAGACAGAGAGAGAGAGACAGACAGACAGACAGACAGAGACAGAAAGACAGAGAGAGAGAGAGACAGACAGACAGAGACTGAGAAAGACAGAGAGAGAAAGAGAGAGAAAGACAGACAGACAGAGACAGAGAGAGAAAGACAGACAGAGAGACAGACAGAGACAAGATATGCTGACCCTCAAGTGTACTCTGTCTGGGGTTTTGATAACTGTTTGGCCATAACGTGTCTTGTACGAACACTAAGAGATGTGTGGTTTAAAGTAAAGGCGATAGGTAAACGTTAACTGTACTGAGATCTAGACGCTCTATTGTTATCCATTGGTCCAGAAACATACCTTTGACATTATTAATATTATCTGTCTCGACACTAGCATGTAGATCTAATTGACTGTAAAATTTTAATAGTCGTATACACAATGATAGAAAAACAACAACATAGATTTCAAAGCCGTCGAACTTGAAAAGAAGACGAGAGTAAAAACAAGTCTTGCTAGCTCGGGTATCTTTGTATCTCGATACAAACGAATCATTGAACGAATTATGGAAAGATGAGTCCAGAAAAACACACCCACCAAACTTTAATCGGAGGCCGGCTAATTGGTATTGACCCGACATTTTAGCATAACGTTACACAAACTTTGACAAGCAACATCTCGTTTGAGTCCAAAATGCCCGAGTCTCTACACCTGCAGATGTTACGTTACCTGCTTTATAAATCTCGTCTGATTTTCGTGTACCTCTCGGGCAAATTGACGCATATAAATCATAGTCTCTCTATGTACGGCAAGGACATGTATACTAGTAGTCCTTGTGACAGGCTTTCCAGAGACAATAGGAGCAACACGACCTTTGTTATCGCCATAGGCTATAGAGTCACCAGGGAGGTTACATTACTCTCCAAGCAGAGGTTTGGGTTTTGGCTTATGTTTTAGGCTGTTTTTACGCCAGCCCAAAAGCGTAAAAAAGATATCAGTACAAAAAAAAAACGAAAAAGAAAGCCCGATAAGAAAGCCTAACAAACACGCCAAAAATAAGCCAGAACCCAAACCTCTGCTTGGAGAGTAGGAGGTTATATGACGTCCTTGGAGTCACTAACAAACGAGCTATCAAGCTGTGTGGGCCGCTTTTCAATACTGTAATAGAAGCGCGATTTAATTAGCCTCGCTGCTTCAACCAGTCAATAAGACACTAATCAGGGTCTGCATGGAAGAAGGGGGTTCCTGGCAACGTTTAATCGTGCATTCAGGAGGACCGACAACGCTTAATGAATCATATTGTTCCTGCGATGGTTAGGTAACGAATTCATTGGATTGTTCCTTAGCTATGTATTCATGGGTTGTCTGGCAAAACAGCCATACCACTGACGCTCCCTTGTGACTTCCTTTCAACTCTATTATTATAGAGTTTTTTAGAGAATAAGTTTCCAATAATGTTTCACGATAAATTCAGGATAACATATAAAATGCTACATAGAATTATATATATAAACGGATAACTTACCGACGACGCTTTGAATTTTCACAGAAAAAAGGCATACAGACCCATAGCAGTATTACGTTTGAGAACAAAGTAAATCTATTATATACAGTACAAGGAGGTTCTTTCTCCTTGGTATGACGCTATAGGGCATCCTATTAGATGTATGACTGCGTATTCTAATTGCTTTTTGATGTGTTGAGCTTTGATTGAACTCAGGCAATGGCACCCAATCTTAGCCTGTAATGCTGTGATCCACCCCTACTAGCTACTAGTATAGTATTTGCCGGTTCTAGTAGTCACCGACGGGCGACGTGGACTACTACAAGTACATGTACTTACTAGTAAGTTAAATGGCAAATACTCGTAGCGACGGATTCCACTAGTAGCACGGAAATGGGCCCTCTCTGTCCGGCCAACTCCTCTATCCCCTTTAAGGCCGATTTCTACTATCTATTCAGCCTGCAAAAGAGTCTGGTGGAGGCTAGGATTCCAGGCTAACCCAATCTTCCTGCATGCTGAACAAAAGACCTCAGGCCTTGACCACGTGACCCAGGTATGTAAATTAGGCGTTGGATCTCCCGTGTTACGAAGTGTGCTGCGGACGTGCGTCAAAGCGACAGCCTAAGGCGCCAAGTAGTGACTGTCGCTCCGTCCGGCCGGTACACCTATTCCGGACCATCAAGGCTTGTTACATATACACAACAGGAAACGTTCACGATGCTAGCCAGGCTGATTTTTCTCGCCTGCTTGCTGGCACTGATCGGGCTTGTAGCCTCACAACACGATGATCACGCACACGAGGGAGAAGAGCCTTTTCACGAGGTTCTGGAGCTTCTGGGAGCCGAGGAGAACAGCACGACTCTCACCACTGCGCACGTCGAGGACCTTGTGGGAAGGCTCAAGGCGAGGGTACGGTGTTCGCAACAGGACCTGGGCCCAGGCGTCACCTGTGCTACGGTATGTACAAGTACCGTATTCATGATTGTTTTGTTTTGTGCCACATTGATTGAGTGGTTTCTGGAAACGATTGAACTTTTTGTTCGGTTCTGTCTTCGTTTTAACTTAAGTCGTGACAGAATATACTATTGGCAGATCGAATTTACAATCTTACTTACATTTACGACTTGAGCATTTATTCTTCTCAAAGGTTCAGGACGAAAAACAGGTGTTGTTTTTCTAAACCATTTCTTTCTTGCATTCTCACCATGCTCTGTCTCCTTTGTATTAGTGGTTTTCACTCCACATCCACTTGGTGCCCCTTCAGATTGGGCGGCGGTTTAAAAACATGAGCTGTCATGCTTTCCTAACTTAATTCCGGCTCGCAGTGTTTTTCTTCTTGGTCAGATCTAGTAGATCAAAAGACATTGTTGTTTACCTCAACCAATTTTCTATTCCCTAGCGATTTGGCAAATGCATATGTTGTTGTAAAGTCCCTCAGTTACTGCACAGTGAAACTTGAACATTCTTTCCATTTCGTTTGGTTCATTTTCATGGAACAGAAAGCTTTATTACAGAGTGAAAATGGCTCGATCGGAAACTGAAATATCCGACACAAACAAGTAAATCTACGTACGTGCGAACATGGCGGAAATAGGACCTGTTGGATTCTTAATTGGCCAGGATAGAAACCGGGGCAGGGAAGTGAACATTTCTCTGAAAGAAGCAAATTTTCCGCCTTCCCCTTAATAAAATCGTACAAATTCCATGTTAAAGTAAAAACTAATGGCTTGTTTTCGCTCCATGCAGAAAACATGTACAGCAGGCACTATGTTACCCTTTAAAATTGTGCCTGTGGATACCAGTTCCTTCTCTTTTTTGAAAAGCAAAGATGGCGGCGAAGAAAAATCGCTTTTCCCACCCTCATGTAATTTCTCTGATCCATTTATAACATTTTCGCTGCTGCTAGCTCTTTATATATAGCATGCACGAAACGAGAATGGTTTAAAACATTGCCATCAGCAAGGAGCACTAGAGACAACTTCGATAGGGCCGCACATATTAGAAGGCTGCGTAGTTTAATTTTATTGTTCAGGACGCCATTACAATTTTACCTGGGTTCAGACAATGGCAGTTTGTTGTTTTTTCCCTCAGTGTTTAACAGCTACAAGTCTGATCCAGGCCGCTGCGGGAGATAACAGCGCAACTACGCTTGACGAAGAGGGTTTCCACAATGCTTCTGTAATTCTGCTGCTGTATCTCACCGATCTTGCGGGCGTGTGCAAAAACGAGACCGACCCGAGTGCAAAAGGGCTTTCCTGGTTTGAAGACCGTCTGCTACAGTACACACACAGCACGAGCGACGACAGACTCAGCGATCACAGCTTTGAACACGTCTTGGAAGACATTCAGACGAACTACACCGTGGAAAACTGGGGGCAGGTGAGTTCTAGATATCTTTGGGGCCCGGCTGAAACAAAATGGCGGCGGTTTGTTTCTGAAATTCACAGAGAAACGCCCTCGGAGACGAAACGGTCGGTGTGTCAAGGCGGTCCTTGAAATGTTTGTTTATCACCACGACCGCACCTTATGTAACTTACTAAGGCATTTTTCTGTGGTGTATTTCACAATTTCTACTGCTGAGAATAAATATTTGTACCGTATAAGGGTCACTAAGCTGTACAAGAGGTAGCAACTAGTTCGGCTTGGAGGGTCTCTGGGAAAATCTGTGACCCGTAGGAGGCTGGCGGTAAACTATGCCCGTTCCCGGGGTACTAGTATCTGATTACAGTAAACAAAGACTATTGTTATTGTGCACCCAATGGGTCGTCCTGGGTCGTACCTGTCACCAGGTGACCAGATATTTATAACTGGCCTTGCAGGTCTCAACGAATCAGTGCACAGCACGACTTTTGCCTGCTTGTCAAGTTGCAGGTCAACAAAAGAACTTAAGAAGCCGGCAGACTATCGCTGCACCCTCACCCACTTAGGTTTCCTTTATTACCCTGAGGACAATATATGTAACTGTTACTTGATTACACTGGAGACAATTAAACAGCCTCGCGACTGTTACCGTTTGACCTGGGCAATTGTCGTCAGTGTAAGATTTTAAAAAGGTTTGTAAAAACAAAACAAACAAGCAAACAAATTTATTGTACCATCCATGAACCACCCCAGGACCAGTCATATTAGACTTCAGTGGGGGGCAAGCTTACTTCAGCCTATTGTGTGTATATACATGTAGTTACCTGTTAATAACTTAATTGCCCACTTTACTGGCCAGGGGCAGAAATGGGAGGTTACGCCCTGGTTATAGCTGCATGGCACTATTTCCTGTTTAGCTCACGCATAAATGATAATGCATTTTCTGTATAGTGTATATAGGTTAACCGCAACAAGCCAGCATTTGTAAGATTCTTTACTAGCCAGAAATCTAGACAGTGGTCTGCTCCCAAAAATTTGCTTCCCGCTGTCACAGATAATCATCATCATCATAATTAATCATCCTCCGAGGAGGTGTAGCACCATACAAAGTTAGACCTCCAGAACTGTCTGTCCTTCATTGCAGAGATAAGTTCCAGGCCCTGCAAGCCTGTTTCAGTTTCTATGAGTTTCTTGAGTGTTATGTTTGTCCGACCAACTCTGCTTTTTGTGTCAGGGTTCCAGAGTATAAGCCTACTGTCTGGTTCTTCACTACGTACAACTGTGAACATGACTGGCCAAGCTTTAACTTACATAAATTCTGCAGGGTACTTTTGGACTAGCCTCTATCAGGCTTTGGGAGGCAGCTGGAAAGAGGCCAAATAGAGAGATAACATTCCAGGGGAGTTGGTCCACCTGTCATGACCAGCTAGAAAGTATGGTTCGGGTGCAGCAAACTGTACTCTCTCTAGCTGACTAAACCCCCCTGGAATGTTATCTCTCCGTTTGGCTAATTTTAGACTGCCACACAAAATGGGGTGTTGTCAAGGCGTTCTCAAGAATGTTTCGAACACCTGGATACCTCAGTTATTACTGATGCTATATTAAATTGATAGATTTCTGTTTAAAAAAAGTAGCGGAATTATGACAGCAGACGTCTACCCGAATTCTACCAGACATAAGGTATCATACTTCATAGGAGCTGCTTGTAAGAATACTCACTCAACCATTGCAGCATTATTCTGAAAACATTTGACAACTGGTACTACCCGGTAGTGCTTGTACAAGTAGTGTTAGTTTCTGCACTTGTATTGTGTCCTACATGTAACTCTCTGTTCTCAGTGTTTCAGTGCAGAATCAGTGTTTACGGAACTGAACATCACCAACACCAGTGGAGGGGCGACGCGTCAGGAGCTCGGAGAAGTCGCGGCTATAACGGTCGTCAACGTGCTGAAAGGGTGGTGCATCGGACAGGCAACTCTACCACAGCAAGGCTTCTTCCTCGACCACCTGTTTGAGCTACTGAACGCAACAAATGGCGTCATCACAGCGGCGGGTAAGGGCCTAGCGTTACAGTCAGTTGCAAACAAAACAGGCCAACTGTTTGTTTCATCCTTACAGTTTGTAAATATAGAATACAACACGGTGTATTCCGTATCGCCCGAGGTACCAGCCCGACCGCGCGTCGGATCGCCCGAAGGCCGGAGGGAGATCCGAACCGCGGGAGGGCTGGGACCGAGGGTGATGCGGAATACACCGTGTTGTATTTTATTTATGTCATACCCACCCAAGAAAACGCGCCTTTCAATGCGAAATGAGCAAAAATTTGGTGTCCCTAAACCAAAAAAAAATGCGACAACATCAATTCCAACGTCCGAATTTTGTATTCGAATTTCGAAATCGGTGCACGCGGTTAGGCTGAAACGCGTTCGAATCGTTCCACGGAACATTTGGAAGGCCCAGGCCGTACGCGGTAAGAACCCCCGGGCCGTACCGCTAGTTATCACACGGGCCGGAACACCCGTATCGAACGTAATCGCGGCACCCAGGTAGGACATAAAGCAACTTACAGCATGTTGAAATGAACTTTCCATCTGATGGGTTTTAAGGCAAGATTTAATAAAGGATTAAAACTATACAAACTATGGAAATTGCTTAATGAGTGGCTGGCTGGCTTCCTCACATCTTACATTCCACAAATGTTCTAAGATTTGCAGAAAGATGGAGAAGCAGGTTAGGAGTGATTAGAAACAGTACAGTCCTTGTTCTGGGAGAAAACCTGATGCGCAAAGAAACTTGAGCCTACCTGCAGAAATCACAACACGTCACCAAGTTTGCCCACCTGCCTTTAGTCTTGGCAACCCTTCTACAGCATAAAAGAAAAGGCTCTTTCACTATTTGCAGATAAATATGGCTGAAAAGGTGCTCATGATTGGCATGTTGGCATATTTCAATGACATTTGGTGATTTCTTTGGTTCTTAGATTCTTACAGAACATTGTGAGAAGGTGAAAAAAAAAACCTACAACTAGATATCCTGTGACCATAGGAGCCACAAAGTTAACATTATGCTTGTTTATCATTCAAATAACGAATTTTGAACCTTTAACCAAATCAATGCATTGCTAAATGGAAAAACTAAGATGACTAGTTTGTCCAACTGTTGGTGCCAAAATATTCAACTGATAGAATTAGGGGGCTTATTCAGAACCTTTTTTACATGTTTTTTTTTTTTTTTTTGCAAATCAGGAAAAGAGTTGAAGCAGGTGAATATGAGAAAACACTCACACGCTCTCTCAGTCTCTGATTAATTGGGCACTGATCGAGAATCAAATTGAATCGGTGTGGCCTTTCAAGTCTCGACCTGTATCATTTGTCATAATTGAATTTGACAGTTTGCTCCACTCCACCCACCAAAAGTTATGTACAATGAAGAGGAAGTAACTGTTGTTCAATGTTCGTATGGACACCAATCCACAAAGTACTGCATGTGTTGAGCAGTTTGATGTAAACCCAATCAGTAACGTTACGCACTGTTCATGATTGTAGAAGTGATCAGCAGTACTACTTTCTTCCTGTATCAAATTCACACTCTGGTTTCATTTTATGCAGGAGAAAATACACAGGAGCCACAGTTCCAACTGATTTGCAATTCTGTGCGCATAAGAAACGTAGTGGAAAATTGGATTTTCTTGGGCTAAATAAGCCAGCACAAAAGACGTTTTGGGTTAAATCACTAAAGTACAAAGCATGTGTGTGCTCAGCATGTGGAACACGTCTTAACATGTAAAACTCAAGACGTGGAACAACTTTATTTTCACACCAGTAGAATGACATGAACATAACATACGTCAGCCATTAAGACTGGTGCACTGTTTTTTTTGCATACAAGCTTTGCAGGCACTTTGTAGCAGCTGGCTATATATCCCTTCAAAAAACACACGTAACACTTCAATCCATTTAATATCTATCGCCAGCTGTTGTTTGAACCTCTATTGAAGAGGCCCCTACCGTATTCAATTTTCCATCCTGTGAAGATCCAATTGGGAAAGACACAGGGATTTGGAAAATCCTTTTTTTTAAAGTTCAAAAGTACCAGTACGGTACATACAATTGTAAGATATCAAGAGATATTAAGATATTAAAAATTGTAGTCAATAAAACTGAAAGGTAGCTAGTGCCCAAGTTTCATATACTGTACCTGCCTTTGATGAAGATAACATGTACACACTGATAGCACTTATAGTAATGTTCTTGCAAGCAGCTGGTAGTTCAAGTGTTTTTGAGACCTTTAAGGTTGTTGGATTACGTTCCTCCTACCCGAAGATATTTGATAGCATAGCAACAGTAACTGTGTATTAGCACGGACAGAAATGGAAAAACATATAACGCTGAACAGATTAAGAACTAGTCTTTCTAACCTTTTACGGCTTCTACTCTGTAAAGTTGATACCTGATATACAAAATGTACATGTAACATTTATACTGTGAAAAACGTAGCTGAGATTACCAGTCCCAGGTGTCTTTCAAAGTGTCTTCTCTACATTTACAGACAAAAAGAAAACTACTCTCCTCTTAACATCACAAAACTGACACATTATAGAAAAAGTGGGATCATTCGTCTTCCACTGTCTTGGAAAAAGAAGTCAAACCCAACAAGTTAGAATCTAGTGTTTAGTAGTTAGAGTAGTCACATACTATATTATTATCCATTGTCCATCCTTTACTTTCATGTTACATGTAGTTGCAATAAACTTTCCTATTTAAAGAAAGAAAAGAAAATGACTAATGCTCAGTGTTTGTTTTCAGTGTTTGAGGGCATGTTTACCTCACTGGGGATTGGTGGGGACAACCACGGTCTTCTACTCTGTAAAGTTGATATCTGATATACATGTACTGTGAAAAAACATAGATTACCAGTCTCAAGTGTCTTTTAAAGAAAGAAAAGAAATTGACTAATGCTCAGTGTTTGTTTCCAGCCTTTGAGGGCATGTTCACCTCGCTGGGGATCGGTGGGGACAGCCACGGGCACGCGGAGGAGGAGGGGGAGGATGCACATGACCACAGGCGGAGACGAGACGTCGGCAGGTCCAGGGTGAAACGAGCATCACACGAACATGAACATGACCATGAAGGAGCGGAGTTCGAACAGACAGTGAGTTCTGGGATAAAACCTTAAATTTAAAAAAGTTACATTTACTTTGACTGACTGACTGACTAACTCTCACTCACTCACTCACTCACTCATAGCCATTAACTTTGAATGTTTAACTCAATCAGTCTCATTTACAATCATGTGTTTATGTACAGTCGTATAGTCGACCAACTAGATTTCTACGACTAGTGAACAAATCCTCTGAGCACAAAGAACATATTTGTTTTTTTCGTTATTGCCTTCAGGCATCAACGCTAAACTGATTAAATCAGTACCTACCCTCCCGTGGGTAAGGCTTCGTAGAGCCTTTGAAAGTGAGAGTTTGTGTAACATAGTCTGGTATCAGTACCTGGTGACCCAGATTAGTACTTTTTCTTTGCTGTAAGATGTGACAAGTCAACTCTCCCACGGTAACTTATGGAGTTTTTGAATCGTGAAAAACAAAATGATATTGTGATAAGGCACCTGAAGGACACAGTGTGCAGACCACCTGTCAAAATTCATTGTGTACTTAATTGGGTGTAAATTCCTGTCCACGCAGACAAAACATGTCCTCGGGAGTGTAAAAATGCCAAACTGATGTTCTGAACAGATACACAGATAAACATCTACTGGAGAAAGCATATGTAAGAACACCTTAACAGTAAAAACTAGGTTATATATTAAAGGCACTGTGAACCAAGTAACAGTGCACTGTGAACCATGTAACACCTTAATTAAGTGCACAATGCACCAAGTAACATCTAGCATCAGTGCACAGTAAACCAGTCAGAATTGCCCTGATGAAGATGACAGACGGTCATCCAAACGTCGGTTCGTAAAAAATAAATGGTTGTGATCAAAGAACTTTGCTATTCACAATATATTACCATTTCATATACTTGTAGCTACAATATTATCATGGTAAACCCCCCAACTACCCTCCAGATTAAAGACAACCAGGTGAAACATATTATTTCACAGAGTTGAAGCAACCATTGTACAAACTTGGACCTATTGGTTCCGAGTTGAGTGCTCTGCCGTTACGCCACATGACCAGCACCTTGGCAAAACTTACTGTCTCGTATAAGGTCGTATTTGTGTATATAAGGTTAACATTGCGTGTGAAGTTTCCAAATGTTATCTTGGATCATGTATCTTCTGCAACAGGCAAAATTCTGACGCAATGTTGACCAAAACCGTGTTTTGTGCAGGCACAGTACATTCTGCTGACGTGCTCACACGACCCCACTAATAAAAATGTTTTGTCCCGACTTGCAGTGTTTCAGCCCCGACCAGTTGATGCAGCTGTACCTGGTAGACGAGGAAAGCGGTCTGACCCAGGCACAGTTTAAGGAGATAACTCCTGCCATAGTCCAGCAGGTCTACAGTAAGGTGTGTGCTGCACAGGACACCCCCACCACAACCAGACTCACCGAGGCTGAAAGTGAGTATTGTCCACACAGTACAACTTCTCGTACCAAGTGTGAAGGGCTTGAAGTACTTGGTGCATATTACCACTTTACCACTATTACCACTTGCACGTGTAGATAGTTGAGTTCTATGTAACTATAATTGTACACTTAGTAATGTTTGTATGTAGCATATGTTGAATGATTAAGGCCAATAAGATTAATTGTATGGATGACATCCTCTGAAGACCCCCAAATTAGTGTGCACGGAATAAAAAAAAAAAATTCCGGCCAAAAATAAAAATGCTACTAAACCACAGGAATACATATCATGTTGGAGATTTGAAGTTAGCCAGTTTATCAGAAATTTGGAATTTTGTTGACATTCTGTTCCATATCTTATGTAGTACATCCAGAATAGGCACACCAGTGTACCTATCTCCAATAATGAATTTTGAGCCCTGTAACTTGTTATTTTGCTTTGTTTAGTTTTAGGTGCAGTGAAGCATTTCAGACAAGTCCCTGAACTATTCAACTCTTGGTTTATTTATTACAATTAGACTCCGGGGCATTGTTCTTCATGTACATTCTACATGTCACAAAAGGTGAAAAGTTCAGGGTGTGTCCTGTGGTGCCGTGGTTCATGTCACGATAACATTACCATGGATATTACCTTACACACAAATGTACATAGTGTGCACTGGACCACATACATTGGCAAGCCGTACCTTATTTCACTCCATTTAATGTCTTAAAGTACAGGACTTTGATGATTGAT